ATTTGAATATTCTTGTTGAAGTCCGGAGAGAGTCTAACCATGGTCTCAACAATTGGACTGTCACCAACGCAAAAGATATTCAATCGTCTTCCTACCTGAAGCTGCGGAAAGCAGACCGATCAAATGGGTGACCATCTTCTGGGATGTTTACCCACAATTGACCTTCCCTGCAAATCGAGCTTGTCCCCTCGATCACGAAGCGGAGAAGGTAGGACGGGTCGGAGGGTGCGGGGAGATAGATGTAGCCTCCCGGAACGTCTGGAGAGCCATCATCCTTGAGAGGCAGCAGATAGACCTGCCGGGGAGAAGACATAGTGTGATCCTAAGCAGATATATGCGAACTCCGATTGACCTTGTGTGATCACGGTCGGACAAGAGCGTTGCTGTGGTAAAGACCGTGGTGAGAGGAGAAACGCGCCTGCTGGAGCCACCGATGTCACTAGGTGGAAAGGATGGGGTAGGTAGAGTAAGGAAAGGGAACAAATGGGGGGAAGTCAATTGCAAGATGAGGAGTCGGAGCAGTCGAGGGCAGTCGCGCACGAGCAGTGGGCCTCGAGGGGGTATTTAAATCAATCTAGCAATCTAGGAGAGAAGAGAATGATTGGAGACGCATCCAGGCCTGACCAAGTTTCTCTCATGTTCCTGGATTGCGCCTGAACCCAACCCCCGTGGCTGACTCCTCCCCGCGCGGGAACCCTGACATCATGATCATGGGCCACCGTTTGTTGTTGTTGGCAAGCTGGCTGGCTGGCTGTAGCTTAGCGGGGAAGCGCGGGAGCGGGTAAGAGAAAAAAAACTAAGTCTAGGCCGGCCTTCGTGGTATGATGGATACGATGGATACTAACTCCGGACTCCGTCATCACCGGAATCTCCCAACTCCATGTTGGCAGACTGTAGTACAAAAGTATTGTGCAGTACAATACTCTGTCTTGTGGTTCATATTTAGTCATGTTTAGTTGTATTAAGAAGCCTCGTAGCCCGAATTGCAGTAAATATAGTATAGAACAAGCCAGTGTCATAAAGGTCTATGGTCATCTATCTATGTGCATGGAAAAATAACGGTGAGAAATTTAACAACAGGTCAGAAAGTAAACAAAGGATATAACCCCATTTTAGAACGTAGTGGGTGGAGAGAAAAGAGAGCAAGAAGGGGTATGTCGTATGTGCGTTGTGTCCTTCCGTCTTTACAACCGCGCGCTGAAGATAGCCTGGTTTGCGCCAACGCTCGTCGCTTCGTCCGTTTCCGTGTATGTTGGAGTGATCGGCTTTCTGTTATACGATTGAAAGAAACATTTCCCAATGAATTAACAACAAGAACATAGCCAAAGGGACATGTCATCAGGTCTCATTTACCGCTCGATGAATGATGGAATATCTTCCACCGACATAGCTCCCGTGAGAACACCTACCAAAGGTTAGTTAGTTGTCTGGGGGTGTTAAGGGTCAAAACTTAGGAGAGGTGACTTACGGTAAACAGCAGTCAGCAAGGGGAATTCATCCTCCATGCCCTGCTTCTTCAGGAAGTTGTTCACTTCAATTGCAGTCAAAGTGCCCTGAAGCTTTTGGCCGTTCAGCTCAGTCTCTTCGACCTCTTCAATTGACTGCTTCCTTTCCACACTGAGCTTTGCGCAACGGAAGTTACGGCCACCACTGCAACTGGTAATCAGATCGGCAACGCCTGCACTCTCCTCAGTGAAAGTCCGAGTCTCGATGGTCGCGCCAAAGAACTTCTCGCCGAACTTGACCATCTCAAGAAGCCCAACCCGCATGATAGCAGCCTTGGCATTGTCGCCCCATCCCATGCCGACTACCCAGCCGGCAGCGACCGCGACGACATTCTTCAGAGCACCACCAAGGGAGACTCCAGCAACGTCATTCACTACACGAATATGGAAGTAAGGACGATGGAACAGGGACTTGAGAACAGCATGATCGACTGGAGGGAACTCGGATGGTAGAGCCTGCAGCTTCACCTGGGAAAGCTGGCCAGACACATCCTTGTGTTCGAAGTGAACAAGGTTCTCAGAAGACGCAGAGGGAGAGCGGTTGGGCGAAGGAGCCTTGGAATCCAGGTGTGGGGGATCGTAGGCAATGCTGGACTCGGACCATTTCTCTTGCGCCACTTCACTGGCGATGTTGGCACCAGAAAGAGCACCGCAATAGATCCCCAGGATTTTGCCAATCGTTTCCGAGAAGAGGCTGATTCCTTCCTCGTTCACATCCACGCCCTTGATGCAGGATATACCCCGCGCATACGGCACAATCTTGCCCTTAATCTGTTCACAAGTCTTGATGATAAATTGATGAGGGAGGTTAAAGACAAGGATCGTGCTGTCCTTGACAGCATCCACCACAGATGGATTAGCGTGCAAGTTCTCCGGTAGAGTGATTCCGGGGAGGTATTTCACGTTCTCGTGAACGGTGTTGATGATGTCCGTCAGGTTCTGTGGCCCTTGGCACAATGGAGAGGAGGCGTTGTAGTGGCGTGAGTCCTTGGCGATTTCGACCTTCTCCTCAAAAACCCACATCTGAACATCTTTCTCGAAGATGGCAGGGTTGCTGGCAGTGTTTTCGGCGACGATTTTGGCGATAGCGGTACCCCTTTCGCCTTGTTAGCACCCAGTAACCCCTACTTACTCTTATTAAAGCGAGAGCGCGACCAAGTGTACATACCAGTTTCCTGAGCCGATCACAGCAACCCGGTGCTTGCGCTGATAAGGTCCAAGAGAGCCCATTATCGTGTGATTGTCCAGAAGTTCACCAGACCGTCGAAAATGTGTGTAGGTGAAGTACCGAACGGGGTGGGAAAATGAGGGATTAAAGTTTCTTGAAGGGGCAGAAAGCGGCGAGGCCCTCGGAGGTAATAAAGTAGGAAGGAGGCGCTGGGGTGTTTGGGGCCGAGGTAGAATCACAAGTGTCTTCCAGCAAGGTGGACGAGACCAGCGGCGTGATATAAGACGGACTGGGGACTGCATCCACATGCAAAGGTCACAAATGAGATCAGTGAAGTTGGTCTGCCGAAGTGTGGTGGGTGGCAGTGTGGCTCCCTGATGTAAGAGCAAGATAAAGGGACGGGTTCGATAGCCGTAATTGTGGATCTCCTCCTTCCCAATTGAAGATACAAAGGACCTCGGAGGCTTGAGGGAAAATACTGATGGAAAGATGACGATCAAAACATTCCCTGGGATTTTCTGTGGAACATCAACCCAGTTTTGGTTTAGCAGTGTTAGCAGTAGTGTAAGAACTTCCCCACCGGTGAGAGATCTGTATCAGCTTGTTCAACCAACGAGAAACAGGCTTGTTGGACAGAATCTGACCGAGAGGATTTGCCTCCGACCGACCAGCCTAGAAGGAACCACGCTAATCATGTGCCAATGAAGTCCGAGGCCTTTTACGGCTCTTCCGACTCGGGGGAGAAAGTCGGAGACTGACAACAACCCGGGCGGTGAACGCAGGGGCTCGAACAATTTGTTGCACTATTCCACAAGAGGCTTAATTCCAAAAAATAGTCCGCAGTTTCAACAATTTATTATCAATTATACCTAATAATCACGAGCACATGCGACTGAACTCTTCCCCCCTCTTTTCCAGTTCAGTAAGAGAGAATAGATCGCACAGTCATGGTCAGTCGATTCGACTCCACTATTCGCTGCAGAATTGCCCCCTGACAGGTCGAATTGTCATTTTAGGCCCCCATCAGACCGGCAAAGAAACAGGATGTCGTCAAGAAGCCCGCCAGCGGGAGTGGCACCTTTCCTACAAACTCGAGTCTCTTCGATGAATTTCGCACGACTAAGAAAGACAAACGCTTGATCAAGCATGCCAGCTTCGTTTCAAAGATTGAGAAGAGCTCGAATAAGAACCACAAACGGCGACGTGCCTCGAAAAAACTCGTCACAAATCTGGACTCCCTGGCGGATGCCCTACCTGAAACCGAGGAAGACTTGAAGAATTCGAGCAACCAGGTGAACATCATCAAGCAGAAGACTTTGAAACATAAGAAGGGTGCTCAGAAGCGCAAAGAGAAGCTAGAGAAGGTCGAACGAGACAGATTCGCAATGAACATGGCACAGCTGTCAAGCATGGAGACGGCTGCTTCGTCGAACGCCAATGCGACCCCCGACGCCAATGCAGGAACCAGTCGATGGGCAGCATTGCGAAACTTCATCTCCCAGACAATGGAACAACAACCTGCCTTCAAGACGAATCAATGAGATACACGGAGGGAGACATTGGAGGCGCAGGCGTCTCGGTAGCAGCTGGGTCAGAGAATCTGCTTTGCTTGGAATAAAGCGAGCATTCAGTCGAGAGCTACTCGGTGAAGGGATCTCCAGATGCAATTTTATGCCCCAATCGTGATGATTATTCTTGGCTCATCTTGCTCAAAGTCACTCATAGGGTCTGCATCGAAACGATTTGGACGTTTGAGCAGCCACGGCCACAAAATTCACATCGGAGTTCGTGCACTGCGACTTGACAAGTAAGAGACACACGCATGCTCAGGCATTGAATGTTGTGTTTACATATCAGCTCGGCGCATCTCCATTGTTCACTGAGCATGAAGATACGGGCGCAGGACGATTGAAATCATGCTGCAACTTGTTTGTGTGCTTGAAATCCCTTGTCAAATGACTCAAAAATTTTACATGACTTCGATTTGGCCATATGACTGATCAAGGAATCAGAGGTTTTCTATGCATATCCAAAATACTTTTGTATTGTTGTTTCACTCGTTCAGGTTGTTGTCCGGAATGTGACGGGAGGATTCTATTGTCGCCTGGTCTGGCGTATCCGTAGCCCAATTCAGCATCTAAGGCAGTTAGACTAAAAAAGTCTTACGTTGGCAGACATCGCTTGATATCAACAAAATACAGACCCTATTCAGTCCGTACAATCCAGACCACGTCATCTGCGGATAGCATCGGTTGATAAGCATCACGTGCTGCGGGGAAAGCTATCGGTTCGGTTGATTGTATCTTATCTGCCACCATCGGAAGCGACGTCTCCAAGAGCTCCTGTCCTACCTCTCCAGGCTTCTTCTCCCATCTCCTCTATTCAAACCTTATAATTTCCATCTGGAGAGGATTAGATAAGAGCATCGTCTGTACTTGTCCCATCCTCACGGTCATGCTGCGGTCGCCTCTTCGGGCGTGCGGTTCCCCTAGGGTGCACCGCTACTCTGTCCTCCGCTATCGGCATGCGCCGAACTCGCAATACCAAGGCAATGGTCGCGGGTTCACAAATTCTTCAGCAACATATCCCACACTTTCTCAATTTGATCGATCGGACTTCACCAGTCAGCCATGGACTGGAAGTTATGAAGCAGGGTTGCCAACAGCTGGGCCTCTCGGGTCTACTCCGGCCTTCGGGGCCCCGCGGGTCACGCCGAGATCCTTGAAACAGTATCTAGATCAGTTTGTAGTGGGACAAGATCGTGCCAAGAGAATATTGAGCGTTGCTGTGTTCAATCATTACCAACGAGTGCAAGAGCTGCAAAGGCGAGAGGAGGAAAACGCAGAGTCACTGGCCAAGCGCGCACGCAGGGAGGCACTCGAGCGCCACCCGGTCGAGGGTAAGACATCCGCAGTCACTTTACGAGCCAAGAATCTAGGTCTTTCGATAGACTCTAACTTGCATACAGATGAATTTCCAGGTCAACAACGAACCGTCCCTCTCCCTCCGAACGCGGATCTACTTGCGCCCACGACGGCCCCGGTTGAACTTGAAGACTCGCCAGACTCGTCGCCACTGCAGCTAGAGAAGTCGAATATTCTACTCCTGGGACCATCGGGTGTTGGCAAAACGTTGATGGCAAAGACATTAGCAAGGATCTTGTCGGTCCCATTCAGCATCTCCGATTGCACTCCGTTCACCCAGGCCGGCTACATCGGCGAAGATGCGGATGTCTGCGTTCACCGGCTGTTGGCCGCGGCGAATTACGATGTGGAGCAGGCCGAACGAGGCATAATTGTCCTGGACGAGGTGGACAAGCTTGCAGCCACGAAGATCAGCCACGGCAAAGATGTCAGTGGCGAAGGAGTACAGCAAGCTCTTCTGAAGCTTATCGAGGGTACAACCGTCCAGGTCCAAGCGAAGCAGGAGAGGAGCGCGCCTCGCGTCAACAACACCCCGAACACATATCCGTCGAACAGCCCTTTGGGTAACTCCCCGTTCACCCCACCTGGAGGGGGACATAGTCCACAGAAGGGAGAGGTCTACAATGTGCGTACCGATAACATCCTCTTCATCTTCTCCGGTGCTTTTGTCGGCTTGCACAAGGTCGTCATGGATAGGATAGCCCGTGGCTCAATCGGCTTCGGTCAACCGGTTCGGGCGCAGTCAGGCTCCTCCGAGCGTGCAAGGGAATCAGGCTCGGCGAATAATAACCAGCCGGTTCCCATTCTCCCTGGCTCCGAGGAGGAAGCACTCTACCAAAAACACCTCCCCTTTTTCAACTCCGCCGCATCCGCATCACCCAACGGCGAGCCAGCCTATTTCAACGCCCTAGACCTATTGAACCCAACAGACTTGCAGAATTACGGGTTCATCCCGGAGTTAGTGGGTCGGGTTCCGGTCACAGCTGCACTATCAGCGCTGACGGTCCCGTTACTCGTCCGCATTCTCACCGAACCTCGCAACTCCCTACTCGCCCAGTACACGACCCTCTTCTCTCTTTCCGGCATCGAGCTCCGCTTCACAACGCCCGCGTTGCACAAGGTCGCCGCCAACGCATTCAACATGGGAACAGGCGCCCGCGCTCTCCGAACCGAGCTCGAGACGATCCTCAGCGACGCGATGTTCGAAACCCCGGGCTCCAGCGTCAAATTCGTGCTGGTCACCGAATCCGTGGCGGAGCGCAAGGAGAAGCCGATCTATCTGTCCCGCGGGCAAGGCGGGCGCTTCCATTCTCTCATCGCCGCCGAGGAAAGTAAATGGGAGGAGAGGCTGCGGCGCGAGAAGAAAGCCAAGACCAAGGACAAACAGCCCAAGCCGCAGACTTCGCCTGAGATGCATGCAATCTCAAACTTCAAGGAATACCGTAACCGAGCAGCTGGCTTCTGAGGAGAGGCTGATGATCCTTGGTCCGCTCACATCCTCGTTATCTCCATCTTCCATCCCTATCTCCCTCTCCGTGTAGGTTTCCACATGCAGCGATTGGCCTTTTCTGTTTGGTTCGTTTGGCGCCGGGGCAGCTGGGCTTGCACAGTTTCTATCTCAGAGTAGTCCTTTATTTTGTATTTCCCGTATGCGAATATGCATCCTCTTGTGAATATCATGATATCATTTGTACTGTTTCCTCCCTCCTTGGGGTCCTCAAAACGAGAAACCCAACAGATGCCTAAGAATATTTCAGCAGTAAGAATGGAACGGACTTGTAAGCTTTAAAGGGTATTTCTAACTTCCTCAGGTACATTTTCTAAAAAAAACAACTCCACGCTGAAATGTGTAACATGAGCCTTTTTGAATATTTGCATGAGAAGGAGCTGTTTTCAGGTTTTTTTTTGTTCAGATTAAAGGAGCTTTCCGAAAACTTGTGGCCACCAATAACATTCACGATCGGCTTTAGCATCGAAACAGAGTGCGCGATGCTTCATTGGTAAGGCTCGGGATAGTTATACTGCGCCGACGCCGAGTTCATTATTTGCGTGAGCCTTGAAGCTTTGTGTTCAGTGGGCGCCGCACGAAGGCCGCCCGGAGTACGCGGCGTGTAAGGCGATGCTGCCTGATGGCTGTGGTGGTCCTTTGCTCCGCCCTGCGAACCGGGCTTCTCGGTCAGCTTGCTCCAATAGTATCTGTAGTCGATCTGGAAGGATTCGATGAATTCCCTCGCGCCGTGTTTGAGCTCGATGTGGTTCCACTCCGCCCACCGCGGAACCTTCAGGCCGGGGCTGGTGACGACCACGAATCGACGGTACAAATGGTTATTGACGAGGGCCCATCCGGCGAAGAATTCGATCAGGTGGTCGGCATCGAGGTGCGCGCGCGACAGGCCGGCGGGGATGTCGGGGTTGTCTTTCTCGGTACGCGACCCGTAGCCCTGGAGTTTGGGAGGGGAGATGGCGTTGCTTTCGAAGTACTCGTCGGTGGAGCCTGATAGGATTTCGCCGGAGGCAGTGTCGTAGGCGGAGGGGACGCAGAGTTGCGAGATCAGACGGTACATGGTTAACCAACTGGGTTTTGGAAAGGGGTGAATGATTGTTAGCTTTCGCGTGATGCTGCTGTCGGAGGAAGAGGGTAGGCCAGGTTGCTGGGTCGCAGGAACTCACTTTTCTTGATCCGCCTGTGGACTGGTTTCGTGTTGCTGAAGAACCCAGTTCAGGACATCAGGGCGGAACATCATCTTCCAATACCCCGGGATCTTCTTCCTCATCCAATCGTTCATCCAGGCAAGCAAGACAATCGTGCCATGCTGCTCACGCACCATGAATTCCTCGGTCATCAAGATGACGCAGCCGTGGGGAAATATGCGTTGAAAGTGAGAAGGATGGTCGGCGAATTGCAGCGGCTTGACCAACGAAACGCTCCAAAAACCGACGGAGGATTTTCCGAGGAGTTGTTTGAGGAATGGAAGTGTGTGGAAGGCCGCAAAGCTCTCGTGGAACTATTGAACAGTCAGCTCAGAAGCGAAGTTGAAGCGAACCAGGTCTAGAGGACACATACGAACACGACTCCGTTAGAGACTGTCCGCGCAAACTTCTCCCAGTCCCCCTCATACCGGCTGGAATATATGACTGGGTTGTAATGTTTGAGGAACTCGGCCAACAGCTGAAACTCTTCGGCATGAATCGGATCTTCCGGGTACATAAGGTATAGTACCTTTGCTAATTGAGTTTTCGACCCTGCATTCACCTTGACCAAAGTCGCAAAATTCACTTCAAATTGTTTTTTGAAGACATTCTTCAGATTAAGCTCATCATCAGTGAGAGATTTCTTCTGTTCAAGAGCCGGTGGTGGCCCTTCATGATCGATATCCATTGCTTCAAATCCAGCGGGTTCTGGTAGAGAAGGGTCGGTATTGATGTCTTCGAGTAAATTCGGTAGGCTGGGCCCGTTCACAGTAGCCTCTGCTACGTGTTGGTCAGGGGACAAGTGACGTTTTGAAGCGTTCTCTGTCACGGTTCGATCTTTCATAGATCTTGTAAACTCCCTTTTAGTCTCTTCATACCCCTCTGTGATTGACAAATGGTCGGATCTATTCAAATTCTCGGCCGATCCGGTGATCTCGGTTTCAGGATATCGTGGGGTTGACTTTTGAACGTGTGCGTTATGGTGAAGTTGCTCAATGGAATTCAGGGACTCTCTAACATGAATGTGAAGATACACATCGGGGATGTCCTTGCGTAGATTGCTCAGATCTCGAAAGCCGAGTGAATCGGGAGGGTAAGCGAGAAACGCCAGTCCCACTCTCTCAAAGTTGTATATAGCCACAGTGTTTTCTTGCTTGAGGTCTTGTGACATTAGGCGGATATCGGGTGTGGTATCGTCATATCCTTCGATCCAACCAACATCATAGGCTCTGCCCATTGCCTGGAACTCGATCAAAATCAGTTATCAAGCCATGCCGTTGGGTTTATAGATTAAAACGGAGAGGTGGGCTTGAGTTGAGGTGCTTTGAGACCAAAGAACACGTAACATGACACTCACATTCGGAGCTATTGTTTGGTATTGATCCAATGTACAGACATGTTGAAACCAAATGTCAAGGCTGTGGCCTCTCTTGTGCCTAAGAAGCTGACCTCTTATCTTTGACCCGAGGCCACAAAGCCTAGCGGCGCCTATAATCCTTTTATCCGGACCGTATAGAATCCGAACTAACAGCTCGCCAAAGCCTACAAGCCGTAGACCTGACGGGGTCATGATTTTTTTCGCTCGAGGTGGTCTGCCCGAAAATGGTTCATGGCCCCGTTTGTTGCGCGTTTCCCCCGGCTCAATCACTCGAGTAGTATTTTCATCCAGCTTTTCAGGAGACCTATTGCGGTAAGACCCAGAGGCTGCTGAATCAGATACAAGTGCGGGTTGTATGTCTGAAATGCGTTCGGTGGCTCTAGTAGGGGCGATGGGAGGGTTTTCAGGCCACTCTGATGGTCGTCTCAGGTCCAAGCCGTCAAGGACAGGATCTAATTCTTTGGTTCTGGCCTTCTGGTGCCAATACTTCGATGATAGATTTGGAAACCATTTGCCTGAATTCATACTCGTGCTCGCATGGAGAGAGTTCCGACGCTGCGGATGAGCTTGGGGTGGCTTGCCACCGCCGAACAAGACCGGAGGTACTTCCTGGTGAACGCGCCTCTGTGCCGGTACTCCTGGACCGCTGGAATGGCGTCGAGACAAAGGTTTCTGTAGAGGTCGCTGTGAATCAGTTTTCTGCGCAGCTTTGCTTGTCCCAGCTGATGCTCCTAGCCTTCGTCTCTTGGCTTCGCGTCTGCGCTTGCGGTCCTCTCTCCTTTCTTCAAAGTCTTCCATATATTGCAGCCAGGCATCTACATCAAAACTCTTACACTTTCCTGCTGCGATATCTGTGTTTTTCCGACGCCAGTCGAGGATTGTTTGCCCATCACTGAAGGCATCGGCAGGTTCCCAGGAGTTCCTCTCAGGAGGATAGCCAGCCCATTGCACCAGATAGCGGACACCGTCCTCGAAGCGCTGCTCAGCTAGGACTTGCTCGACTTCATATTCCGATTTTGGCTCACTCTCAACCGTCGAAGTGAGCGAAATGTCATCCTCATCCTCATCTTCTTGGCGGGGAACCATTTTACTTTCTGCAAAGTGAGGCCAGAATGAATACAGCGCTGGAACGTTTCTAGTGCATGGGAGCTGGTGATTGCCAGTCCAACTTGGAACAAATGAGGTGAGATCCTAACATGGATCTGGCCGCATTGAGCAACGCTTTCCTAAGTCAGGTTCCGAGGTTCTGAGGGTTTAGTCCACGGTGAATGACGGGCAGTCTCTTGTGGGGACCGGTCGGAATATAGATCGGTTTCCTAATATGGCAGACCAATGAGTAGTTGCAGGAAAGAGTTGTAGCTGATATTCGTGGAGAAATTGAACACTGCGAGTTGAGGCAATCCCCTTTATTGGGTGAGTAAATAGATACTAGATACTTCGGGAACCCCCTGCGGCGTGCAGCACACTGCATCAACTTGGTATTTTGAGTCGCAAGTTTGTTGCTGGGGACGATAAAGATTATGGGATCACGTGACAAGGGCACTAATCCCGAAGAGGCGACAGTCCAGTCGGGAATCGGTAGGGGAGGAAGAGGTGGACGGAGAGAGAGAGACTAACCAGGAGAGAGAGAGAGAGAGAGAGAGAGAGTCTGGATAACCTCCTAATCTCCCTTCCCCGGTGTTCACCCCTTAGACTTTCCCGGTAAGTTGCTCTTGTTGCCTTGTGGATTTAAGACTCTTATCTGCGCACCCTGCTGTGTTCCTCTCTTTCCCTCTTCTCTTTATTATTGCAGAGATTAGGTAGTGAAGTACTAATCAGAGCACTGCTGCCCCTCGTTTCCAGAAAGTGAGATTCAACTGCTGTCGGTTTTCCCGTGAATCGCCTGCCACACACCCCAAAACACATCGAAAACTCTCCCCGTTTATAAATCTTACCTGTACCAGAGCTTAGCGAGCTCACAAAATACCCATTATGGCTAACGACGAGTATGATGTGAGTGACCCCTTTCATCTAATCCTTTACTCGTTGGCAGGCCTGTAATTGACGAATGTCGCTGGCAGTTCCTCTTCAAAGGTAAAGTTGCCACTCTTATCCCCCCCCCTCTTCCCCCCGCGCAGTCGCCTCTCGTCACCGTTCCCTATCAAGCAGATCGCGTTCGTGTCAGGATCTCGGCTGACGTGCGACGGCTTCCTTCGTTTCTCTGAACAGTTGTCCTCATTGGAGACTCCGGTGTTGGAAAGTCCAACCTCTTGAGTCGATTTACTCGCAACGAGTTCAACCTGGACTCCAAGTCCACCATCGGTGTTGAATTCGCAACCCGCTCCATCCAAGTCGATTCGAAGACGATCAAGGCGCAGATTTGGGATACTGCTGGTCAGGAACGTTACCGTGCCATTACGTCCGCTTACTACCGTGGTGCCGTTGGTGCCTTGCTCGTCTACGATATCAGCAAGCACCAAACCTACGACAATGTCAACCGGTGGTTGAAGGAGCTTCGCGACCATGCTGACTCTAACATCGTTATCATGCTGGTCGGTAACAAGAGCGATTTGAGACACCTGCGCGCTGTGCCCACGGAAGAGGCCAAGCAATTTGCCAGTACGTGGATGTCCTTTGTTCATCGGGCTGGACATGCTCCTTTGTTAAGCGAGCTAGTATGCTGATGATATTCCGACAGGCGAGAACAACCTTTCCTTCATTGAAACGTCCGCTCTCGACGCAAGCAACGTCGAGCTTGCTTTCCAGAACATCCTCACAGGTACGCTTTCGCCACGCACCCATGCGCCTGCTTCTTGACGCTGACCCTCTTTGCAGAGATCTACCGTATCGTCTCCAGCAAGGCTCTGGAGGGCGGTGACGCGGGCCAGACCGTCTTGGGCGACCGTCGCGACATGGTGAGGATTGAGCAGTCGGATACCTCCGAGACCAAGCAGGGATGCTGTTAAAGAAACCATGACATCGGGGAATGTGTGACATGCCAACCGAAACGATTTTATTTTGTGATGTGATAATTGAACGGTCTTGAGCTCTCTTTCTGTCTGTTACTTAGCCTCCTGGAGATGATACACAAGAGGAACGTCGTTAGGAATGGCATTTGGGGTTATGGACATGGTATGGCGGTGTTTGCTGGACATCACAATACTCCCGACACCTTGTTTCTGGCACCTTTTTACGTCGTCGACTTTTATTCTTTTTCTATTTTTGTGTCTGTGGTTTGCACCTCATGCTTTTCTTTTTATACTCTAAAGATGACGAAATTGAATATTCTTGTGGATCTTCCTTGCGTTCTGCCCCTTGCATGTTATCTGTCCCACCAGGTTTTGAAGCCCTGATATGGCTTGCCCCCCTCAATGACGTGTAGATTTCCCAAAGCATGTGAAGTTAGTGAGCCAAGGGAGGAGAGGAAGCAATTTTGAGCACAGAAAGCCATTGTCCATCCTCTCTACCTTGCAACAGGCTATCATCCCAAGGACCGAGACCCTGGGCGAGAATTTCACACAGCATCGCGTCCACCCGCCTATATTACGTTCCTCTTATTTCCCGGCCTCGCCAGTTGTCCCAGGCCATGGTCGAACGAAGCGGCCCACATCCTCACCGCGGGAGCCCCACGAGGCATTTCCGTTCCTGCTCCATTTTCCGTACGTTAGCTGGATGCATTTATGAGTATGCAATTCAATAATACTCAAATCCCAGCCTGCCTTATACGGAATACTCTGCTACATAGGTATTCCACCACTCAAGCTATCAATCCAGGATACCAAGTACACGTAGAGCCATCCCTCCCCCCGTAGCAAATACACACGACGCCTCCTCCTACGCACAGTAATCCCCCAAACAACCAAAACCGGCCCCATTTTTAATCACCCGCACCCTCCCCAAAAAAGAACACACACAACAATTGAACTCCACTCCACTTGGGAATTTTAGCCCCGGTTCCAGGCGGGCTCAGCCTCAGCTCTTTTCTGCCGAATGCCATTTCCCCGTACGGTTTAGGGTGGGCTGATCAGGGGGAAGAGAGAGAGAGAGAGAGAGAGAGAGAGAGAAAGATGGGACGGGTTGGCCGTTAAGGTGGTTAGACAGTGCCGTGCAGTGTTCGAGTCGCACGCGTGGACTCCCCCTCCTCGGGTGTTACCAGTGGATGCCCTGTGTTTCGTAGTGGGCTTGATTTTGTTTTTTGATTTTTTTTTTTTTGGTAAAGTCGTGTGTGTCGCGTGGAAGTGACAGGATCTGGGGTTTAGAGTTAGGGATATGAGATTAATGTACAGTAGATGGCTGATGATTAGCCGATGTTGGGATGTTTTTGCGTTCTTAGGACTGATTTCACCCTTTGGCTATGGGCTGGAAGAAGGGTCGCCAATACCTTATGGTGTCATATATGGTCTAGATAGATTCGTGCTGGAAGGTCCAGGGATGCGTAGATGCTACATGGTCTTTGCTTGGCTTGGCTCGGCTGGAAGGGTGCTGTCTCGGGGAAGCTGCATACGAGGAAGCCGTTTACCAACCTTGGGGCATATATTCGACTGTAGATGACAAGACACATACAATACTAGTCTATGGATTCGGCAGCCAGACAGCACCGTTGCTAATCCCAGACGACCCCAATCCCACGATCGGCGATGGCGGCGCGAAACTCCCCAATATCCTCGCCTCGCTCCTTCATCACCCACTCCAGGGTGTCCCCGAATGTCTCCCCATTATCCCGGAACCAGTCGCCCATGTCCCGCACATAGGCCTCGACCTGTTCCTTGAGCAGGGCGTGATCCCGCAGCCACAGCACCTGACCCGGATCAAGCTTCATCATATCCTGCACGACGTAGTAGTGCGGGATCTCATCCCCCCACCCTTCAAACCCGGGGTCGTGGAACAAATCGTTCCGGAAGCGAGATTTGTACTTGGCCGAAGATTCGAAGTTGCTCGGATGAGTAGTGTGGAAGTACCGCTCAGCCACCGGATCGGAAGGCTTTGCGAACAAACTCTGGGGGCCCTTGGGATATTCGGGCGCCGCTGCCGCCGCCGTCGGGTAGTTGAGATGAATGTTGAACATCAACTGGTGGGTGCTCTCGGGGTGTCGTTTCTTAAATTTACGCTGGATGGTCCCGTTGCTGGGGCAGATGTGGTTCTGCACGACATCCCCGATGATCGCGCGCACATCCTCGATCTCGGCCAAGTCAGCGGTGGACCAGTTGTGCAGCAGCTGCGCGCGTTCGCTGACGATATGGGGCAGGGTGCGAGTGAACCGGCTGTGGTCGTGCGTGTGAAAGGCGCGATGATACAGCCACAGACGGTAGATCGCGCGCCGGAGCCGGAATCGCTCCTCGTCGGAGAGCGTCCGGCGATTCTCGAAATCCAGCTTCCATTTTTTGAGAGGGTATATGGCCTCCCATTTCTGGGCCACGCACCCGATATGTATGATCTGTCGGAGAAGGGGGTCGGTCAGAGGTGCGGTGCGCGACACGTGCGCTGCCTGGCTGGTATTCTGAGTCACAATTTGGATGATATCATCTAGCGGGCCAAACTCGAGCTCCGCGACATTGTAGAGGATCTGTAGTTTATTGGATCGGTGGAAAACAGTGTGCAATCGACGGCACGTGGAGGCAAGGTTTATGACATCGGTGACACTTTCGCAAGAGCGGAATATATGGAGCAGAAGCTCCGCGGCTAGTATATTGAAGGACATGGTTCTGGACTATGGCTATCTTCATACGGCGTCAGTTCAATGTGAACATTAAGGCCGATCTCTGCATTGGAAGATTGATACCTATTGTAATATTTCTAAGAGAGTTTCGAGAGTGGTTCGTAGAAGATTAGATGACAAATGTCGCTGTCAAGGACAGGGCTGTCGTCGCTGCAGGCTCAATACCCCTGCGGCCGCTGTCGCAATAGCGATTCGGACCTAGATCGCGACCCCACCCCTGGGGATTACCAAAACAGATGAAAAACGGGTAGGGACCGTTGCCATAGCGTCAGGAACAGGACAAGCTCCAAGCAGCCACGATGGGCTGGGGAGTGAAACAGATGCCATGATTTCTGTTAAGGAGTTGTAGTCGCGGCGATGGCGAAGCCGGCGAGGCGATAAGGAGAGGCGGGACGTCAGATCACTTGACACAATCGCCTTCCCCTTCACCCAATGCACTTGTACATATGAATACCAAAAGGGGGCAGGGAATGAGCTATTCGACATTCTAAAATTTGTAAGTTATATATGATGTATACGCTCCCTTGTTCCCTATCTCTGGAGCAATTTGGAAATTGTCGAAAAAGCCAATATGATAGCTCTCTACACAATGACTGCAAGTACACATATACAGAAGGATTACTAAGGGCAACAGCCAGATAGAGGCAAGCCATGAAGTGCATTGTGGGTTCATCGAAATGAGCGCAAATTGAACGATAACGTCAAGTACTTTTATTATTGTCACACCAGACGCCTTGAAAGAGAACCATGAATGTACCCCCCCACATCAATACATATACATCCCTTCAGGATATCAGAGTCTAATAGGGCGTAGAAATAACAGAAGAAAGCGATGCGAAACAGAAAAGCGATTATGCGAACAGGTGCCGTGTGTCCAGAGCACCGGGCTTCTTCTCGCCGTCACCCAATCCCAGATTCGACCGCTTCGCGAAACGGTCCGTCTCCGCATCCCTGCGGTTGGCGTGGCGGGCGGCCTTGCCAATGCGGATGTCACGGCGGACCTGGTTGGGGCTCACGTATTCCTTGTTCTCGTAGATGACAGGACCGCCAAAGCTGCCCTCCAGGATCACGATCGGCGTCAAGACAAAGCGAGGTCCAATCTCGACGAGAGAGATCTCCGGCTGTCCATCCTTCTTCTTGGGAGCGGGCTTCGCGTCCTTGCCCTCCTCCTTCTTGCTCTCGCCCTCAGACTCCCGAATCTCATAGACGCGGATCCAGATCTTGCCATCCACACCAAAGACACCAATGATGCGGTCAACAAACGGCTTCATGCCCTTCACGCCACGCTTGGGAACGCAGAAGACACCGCGGATCATCTCCCTGATCAAACCCCGGTATTCGCTGCCGGGGGAGCTCATGAGCGGGCCCTGCTCGTCGAACGAGCGGTCGAAAACCACGAGACCCCGACCGCCCTTCAAGCAGTTTCCGCTGAACCCGGCATTCAGCTCGGCCATGGTGTGCAGGTTGTTGACGTGAAACTTAATGGTAGGTCCATTGGGAGGGCGCGCAAGCCAGAGGTACAAATCTTGACCCTGCTTACGAGCCTCGAGGAAGAAGATAACGTTGCAAGAGTGAAGATCGGCGAGAGAGTTCAGGAGGAGGTTGTAGCCAGCGGTCTTCTTTTTCGTGTCGAGTTTGCTTTCCTTGTGAGTGTGGGGGAGAAGAGAGGCAAGGTCTGCGAGCAGGTGTCGGTGGCTAGAGAGGGAGTAAAAATCCACGGTTAGCAATCGGAGTCTTGTCCCTCAACTCCCAGGTTCAGATGTAGAAGAACGCACCGATAGGTTACACCTCTGGAGGTCAACATCAGGACGCGAGTCTTGGGCATGAACCCAGAAGCAAGCTGCTTCTTCGCCGCTTCAGTAGTGATTTCCTCGTCGTCTTCGCTGTCGCTCGAATCGTCGGCGTCAGCAAGGAGTTCCTCCATTTCGATATCCTCCTCATCGAGCTCCTGCTCCCGAGCAATGCGCTGGGCGGCTTTCTTTGAAACAGTTTTGTAGACGGACGCCATGGTGAATGCTATATGCTGTGGTTTGTGAAAGTCCGAATCTGTTGATCACCCGCAAAATTCAGAAGATGCCGGGCAGAATTATTTTTTGGTCTACACCGCCTTTGATGATCAGCATCCCGTGACTACATCCACTCTCTCACCACTTTGTGGACCGCTCAAGCCTTATCTGGTTAGTCTATCTTGCGAAGCTATTCACATTCATATACAGTGCTCTGAATTCTTTCATTGTATCATTTGGCTCCATAATCAATAAGCCGTATCTTGAGCTTGGTAATTCTCTTGTCACCCTTCACTCCTTCATTTTATGACTGCGATCATTACTCCCAATTGAATCGAGAAATAGCTAGCATCTTCTCAGTACAATCGAGGTCGATTTCAGGCTTATTCTCTTGAACCTGAAAGCACAATAATCAAGCTTCAATGCCATCCATCGCCCTGTTTATCGGCAATCCCCGCCTCTCTCTGTAGTATTATTGTGTCTCCGCTCCATGTAATCCACACGCTTATGGCCGGGCCAAGACTGCTTCGAACATTTCCCTGTCGCCCTGCAGAACAATTGAGAACAATTGCGCCATGATGCAGATACCACGCTAGTCGGATATTCATCTCAACGTATAGAGTTCAGTGCACGATGAAGCCCTGAAAAGCCCTCTTGGGATACCTTCATTCCAGCAACTCGGTTTGCGAAGCTTAGCTTCTGCGACAAACTCCATTCATCACGCCGACAGAGAAGCGCGTACAGCATCCCGGCATTGAAACTATCGCCAGCACCAATTGTACTAATCAGAGTCAGTGACCGACACGATACGCCTAGTCCAGTAGTCGTGGCGCATTCAGCCACTTGATTTCCACTTACTCCACGATACGAAAGTCTGGCGCGGTGTATGCGGGCTGATGAATCACATCTTTGGTCGCGGTACTCAGAGCTACTGCTCCATGTTCACCCCATGTGCAGCATAGAAGAGAGCTAGTGGTCAAAAGATCAGCAAATGAAGCATGGAAACGCTGATGGATCTTGGACATACGCCTTCTGTGTCAGAGACGATTGTTCTTGAACACATTGCTCAGCCGATTTATACCCATTTCCCTACGGCTGTCAGCCTCGATTCCGGCAGAGACATGAGAAGCAGGAATATGTGTACCTGAGCCCAGCTCTTCGAGTAGAAAACAACGTCGGCTTCCTCCGCGAGTTCCTGCAGCCCAGGCCGTCCTGGCTTCTCTACTTCGACGCTGATTCTGACCGAGGGGAGATGTTGCCGCAGGTAGCGGATGCAAGACAGGGTGACGTCCGGAATCCGACCCTATAGATCGTGTCATTAGTCTCAAGCAAGAAGCCCTCTAGATGGTTCGCAAACCTCGAAATGAAACCACGAAACCGTCGGGCCTAAAGTGTTGGCAATCGTGACAAATTCATCAACGGTCATCTCCGGAAGCTCATTGTAGTTGACGATGGTCCGGCTCCCCGTCGTCTGGCTTTTGAAGATGTAACTCGAAGCAGGCTCTGTTATCTCGTCCCGGTAGATGCAGTGATCCATGTTGACGTGCGGTTCGAATGCCGCTCGGATCTGCTGCGAAGCAGCTGATGACCTGGAGGGCAGGATTGCAACCAGGTTCAATGATAGTTGCGCGGTCGATGAGCCGTGAGCTACCAACTGCTGCAGAACCTCAAGTGTGTTGGGGCAGTTGCCCCCTCTCCGACGAGAGATATTGGAAGCACGAAGTTTTTCATCTTCTCCAGGGTAATGGGGAGTCCTGGTACATTGACGTCAGATATGATCGGGCCGTTGACCGGAAGAGAATCCAAAGCCACCTACGTTAGGATCGTGTCTAGATAGCATGCGCCTACCGCAACGAGCGACATCCTGTTGCTTGATTGTTTACTGCCGGGCATACAGAAGCTTAGATTACATTGGAAAGGCCTAATAAGTACTGCACGAGCCTCGCCAGCGTTGAGAGGAGCAGCTTGACCTTGATTTGCCGTGGGATTAGTCATGACCCACTGTCGACATCATAGTACAGCTCTCCCTATTGCAAACCCCATTCTCCAAGCTCAAGGCACAAAAGGACAGTGCGAATTTGCGTTAAAATATAATACCAAGGTGTTCCTCCCATCGCAACATGATTCTAGCTTCCCAGAAAAGTCACAGTCGTAGAAGATCAAATTGACCTCAAATGAACAATTTCTGAAGCAGATTCGACAACAGAACCGTGGCCATAGTTAAAAACATGCGGAGTATGAAGACTCACAAGCATCGAACTGTAAGGCAATAGTGGCAATTTTGGACACAGGCGGTTCAGGAATTGAGAATTTGATCTGGATCAAATGGAAACAATGGGTTTGCTCGCGCTATTTGCAAGAGACCAATAGAAGGATGCTCCCACAAAACCAGAGAATGGCATCGATCGACTTAGATGCATGTTACGACTTCTCGGTCATATCGTCAGAAGCCGCGACTAGGTATGCTTAGAGTAACGACTTACCTCAACAGACACGACCAAGTCCAGTCTCGGCTTGGTCAGCACGAGTCTGTTCTTCAGGAATTCCGGGCGCGATATCACCACCTTCGGACGTGCAATCATCCCATTCGTTGTTGTCATTATGATCGTGCATGGTGGTGTCAGCTTCGCCAGGCTGAACACCAGCGTCGACAGATCCATGCGGATTGGCAGAGGATGTGAGTAGTTCCTTGTCTGCCCTCGAACCGCGCTTCCAATCAGGGAACTTGTGGCTCATGCGAGTGCCATATCTCTGTCTTCATGACCGGTCAGACACAGGAAGAGCGAGACATAGCAGACATCTTCCAAGCAAGGAAGACAGGCAACTCACCTGGCGGCGTTCCAGCTTCCACCAATCCTGTCACCAACTTCCTTCCACTCTTCCTCACTGAGCTTGATCTTCTTGACATAAGCTATGGTTAACAGCAGGTCTAGCTCTGCTGACTCGCTCCAGGCGAGTCTCTTTGCCTTACCCTTCGGCTTCAGGGTAGAGCGTGTCTTAGCATAAGCTCTCTTCGACTTATCACCGATTTTCGCCATCGTGGTAGTATGGGAAGAGTGATTATGAGACTTAAAGCTAGATTAAACTTCTCAGAAGATGTGGGTGCGTGGGGTTAGGGGAGAGGGGGGAGGGTGAGGGGGTGATATAATCTAAGAGAAACACGCATTACAAAGGGCCCCGGCCTAGTGCGGCAGCGCATACAGTAACCAAGGTCTGCTGACCTTTGCGCATCGACAAGTGAATAAATCAGTATATTATTTTCAGCGCAACCTAGCCTGACTCACCTCGTTTCATGTCGGCATGAACGATGTCATCGACATTTGCCGCCCTTTTCTACAGTGGAATAAAGCTGTGTAAAACGTGGACGATGCTGCTCATCGGAAATCTACCCGAGCTTACTATGTAGGTAGTGGATGTAGCTGAATAACTTTACAGTTGAACTAGCTGGCTAGATGATCATGTTCTTATTCGACCCTTCCTTCAGCCGGACAAAGACTAATCTACTCATACGAGGAGATTGGGCGTTGTGATGGGGGTGGTAATGTGATGAAGACTACTTTGCTTTCAACAGCAAAACAAGAGGAAGCATGCTGAGAGCGATTAATATCTAGGAATCTGTTTGATAGGGCGCCATATCAGAGACTAGCTACATGGACCCATGAGCATAGTCAGGTACGTTTGGAGAGTTTGACTTTGAGTTCGTCTCTAGGGCTGAAGTTCTGGACGAGAGTATTGTAAGGGAGAATATGAGTCTTTCTCCAGCTGATCCTGGAAAGGCGAGCTAATCCATGATTCTAAGAAAGCCTCTATCCGGCATACCAACAAGCACGATCTGCGGCCGTCGACATACTCGCTATTTCTCGAGAGTCAAAGCAATGTTTGAAAATTGACGACTAATGACTGGCTCTATTTAACGCTGCGTTGCTCAAGTTTGGAAGGTAAAGATTTACATAACAAGGAAATCTATATTCGCTGTGTAGCACCTACAGATACGATTAAAGGCAGCTACCTTTGACCAAACTAAGTCTGTTGGATAGAATCATCTATCGGTTGACCTACTGATGCGTTCGAATTTGGCCCTTTAGATGGACAGCTGAAAGGTAGCATTGACAGCTCGATTATTTTACAATCTAATTAAGTCTGGAACAGACAAGATCCTTTAAATGAGGCTATCTGGTATCTCTTTCAGCTCTTTCAGCTCTGCTAGTCGAACTGAATTTTTGAACCAGCTATCGCAGTCTTTATCCTCTATCCGTCGGCCAAAGGTGTGTTCAGTCAGGGTATAACGAACCACGTGATCATCAGCTACCATTAGTGAAACAGTGAAACCCTACTCGCAGGCTGTAAGAAGGATATGGTGTAAAGACAAGGTCCTTGTACACACTTTCTTTGTAGTTTCTCTACTCAAATGTGGGTTGTTATGCTCCATGCACGTTTAAACAATCCGGCGAATGAGGCTGCTGTCACCTGCAGCATGCCACTAGCCGACATGCAGAAGCTCTCTACCAAATTTGCATCATTGTTGGGAGAACTGTAGAGGCTCCGCAGGCTTCCTTTCAGAATGGCCGGGATCTTTGTCAGTAATGCAGTATGATGGCGGCTGTGTGGCTAGATTATCTTAATGATCAATTCTAACCCAGGATCATGAATTATAAATTTCATCCTTCTACGTGCATCAAGGTGCAAGTTTCTCAGTCACTTCTCCAGATTTCTAGGAATCATCTACATACTTCGGGTCAAGACTGCCCTTCTACCACAGAAAGTCCCATCTCTTCTCTACTCCCAAGCCCAACCATGCAGAATCCAAAACGTGGCAAGGCCGTGCCGACTGACACTCCGGCGTCCAAATTCTTGTACGCCATCCTCAAACAGTTGGATCTTAGATCGGTTTGTACTTCAGTCCAGAAGGGAATACTCCATCTTAATGACAACTCGCTAGGTTGATTGGAACCTAGTTGCCTCTGATCTCGAAATCTCCAACGGCCACGCTGCACGGATGCGATACTCACGGTTCAGACAGCAGATGGAGGGCAACGTTCCATCAACCCGAGCTCCCCGTGCTAAGAAAGACAACACCAAGTCGAGCAAGGGTGGTTTGTCCAGCGAGAACGGCCAGAAGAGTCTTCCATCCCCTTCGCCCGAGCCAGCGGCGAACCAGGGATTTGCTGCTCCCTACGGCGAGCATATTTCCTCCTTGATGATGCCAACTCCTGGTCCTTCGCTCTCTCCTATGATGCCGCCCACTCATCCAGCTGCACGACTACCGTACCACCCCCCTCCCCTTCCTACACCCGAGGTGAAGCACGAGCCTCTGGAGGCTACTTTCGAACCTTGCCTGGAGTCTATGTTTAAGCCCGAGCCCTATGATGAGCACGTCCCATCGCTGGTGGATATCCCTCTGACTACATCTTTCCCAATGTCGACTATCCCACCAGCTGTTGCGCCGTATACTTCTATGTTTGCCAACTCAGGCAACCCGGTCATGTATTCATCTGCATCCGCTCCTCAGCCCGGGCTTCAAGCTGAGTTTCGACCTGCATTCCAGCCCGAGCCATTCTACCACGAGCCCTTCGGAGCTCAGCACCCGAACAATTTCTGGTGGCCTAAGATTCAGCCGGAGCAGGTGATAGTGGGAGAGGATATGGAGATCGAAGAAGAAATTAAGGAGGAGCCGCTAGAGGATGGTGATGCTACAAATGAGTAGGGTAGGTTTGGGTCTGGGAATTTGGTTTATCGCTGTCCCTATCGTGTTGTATGCTATCATGTTTGACTGCAACTGATGAAGCTCGTGGCCCAAGTCATCATCATGTTTGGTGCGCTTTTGTTCCTCTTCTGGTCGAATTACAATAGTAACACATATCACTGGCAATATGACTTTTGTTTACTCTCTGTAGCAACTGCATCCTTCTGGAACCACAATACTTAAGTGAGGTACTCTGCAGTGGGCGTGTTACGACAGTTGGTTTGCTGGATGTGATCAAGACCTACCTTGACTGAGACTGACCTTCTCTTCACATCTGACCTTGCTCTGAACTGTTTCCATTCTTTGCAACCCTCCCTCGACAACCACCTTATCAGTTCTAATATCCCCAACTATCCTCACTAGTCATCAGCACACGACTCTTATTCAAACCAATTCACTAGAGTAAGCCAATCTTCATCTTCAGGTCTTCCCAGCCAGCTAGAAGGGCGAGGACCAGAACTATTCCCTCACTATCTGTCTTGCATACCCTCCCCAGCAACCGTCCTCCTTTGATTACATACATCCCCTCCTCAAAACATCCTTTTATTTGAATTTCCCCATCCACCATACAAGCTATCGTGTCAGACCCAATACTTCAGTCCAACCCAAAACCTGACTTCTAAATTTCCAGTCTACTCCACCTCAATCATCATGCCTGGTGCCAAGCAGGCAAAGTCCGAGGATGAAATACCTCAGCCCGATGCTCAGTTCATTGTCCAATGTGTCATGAACATGACATCTGACAGACAGGCGAGTTCTCTTCTTCTTTGCGTTCTCTTACTACGTATCGCTAAGCATTCCATACAGGTCGATTTGAGCAGAGTGGCCGCTGCCCTTGGCTATACCAATGTTGCCTCCACCGCGAACCGATTCCGCGCCCTGCGCAAGCGTTATGGGTTTGAGCTCGAAGCCACCCAGACAGGTGGAAGCCCCACCAAGATAGATAGCGCGTTGGCTGGAGGCAACGGACCCCTGGATGCTCAGAACGGGCAGGACGGCCTTGCGGTGACCACCCCGACCAAACGCAAGGCGCCTGCGAAGGGCAACCCCCGAAAGAAAACCAAGGCCAATGCTGATGGGGCCGCTGAGTCGAACAACTCCGATGAAGCTCAGGCTGGGTCAGATGTCGATACCAAGCCGAACACAAAGGGTCGCAAGAAGGGCGCTGCTGCCCGTGCCAAGTCTGCTCCCAAGGTGGAGGTTGTGGTTGCGCCGGAGACCCAAGATGGGCTTGACCTTGGAAGCGATGTCGTTTAAGTGTTCCTTGAACGGCCTACGATACTGGTACGTTGCCTTGCAAGAAGGAACTGCTTGCTTTGGCGCTGATGAGCTTTTGACATATAGGCAGATGGAGTGTTCGGCCGTCGTTGCTGGGGTCTTGGATCTTCCGTTCTTATCTTGTGTTGTTGACTCTTTCGAGGGATTTGCTCCAGCAACATTGGGGATGGGCTTCGGTTTATGTGCAGTCTTTTGACTTCTATTTCTTGTCATTTATCCACACTGATGGCCTTGGGGAAGTCACGCTGATGCTCTTGGCCTCTGCATACCAGACTCTTCATAGCAGATTGGAGGATTGATTGATATCTGGGACATGCAATACAAAAAGTAGTCGACTGTCATTGCGCCTTCCTTGTTCTGCTCAGTAGATTGTTCCACTGATAGTCTAAAAGTGGTTCTCTAAAGCACTGGGTCCATCCTCTTGTGTCCTTGTGTTAAAGATCAGGACCGTGTTTTACCAGTGAATAAACGTCAAGCTGATACTCCCTCACGGTTCCCCCAGTCGGTTTAGACTCGCTCTATTCCCTTCACCCTTGCTGCAATCTCTCACTCACTTCCCAGGTATCTTACCTTGTTCTCCCCCCCGCTTCGCCTCTTCTCATCCTACCAATTTACACTCCTCTACCCTCAACACATTCCTCATCTCCACTCCACTATCAAAACCTTCGCGCCTCAAGGCATCATCCACCCCTCTTCACCACGACCATACACCTCGAATATCACACACACACACACACAGAGATACACACCAGAGCGATCTCAGCGAAAGATGGCCCCAAACACACCCTCAAAACCGAGAGCGCCTCGTCTCACCGCGGATGATCAAGTGCAGTTCCTCCTTAGCTGCATCCGCAACGCCACTGGCGGCGGCAAGGTAAGTCCTCTATCTCCTCCTCCTCCCACTTCTGGGCCCATTCATCTGGTACTTTTCGATACGACTCCTACACCGTCAACTCCCAGTCCCTACGTCCCATCCCAGCAACACAAATTCAGGGACCAAGTCCGATCCTCGGAATTCCTAACTAACAAACCACCACCTCGAACAACGATAGATTGATTTCGCCAATGTCGCCAAAGAATGCGACATTGTGACCAAAGGAGCCGCGTAAGTGATGCAGAGAATCCTTCCCCCCCTTCTTCGCCGTCACCTCGCCCCCCCCCCGCTCTTCCCATAAGTCATCTCATCCCATTCGCGATCAATTACACGATACATCTTCCCAAGGGATAGGGCTGAGCTGATAGACGAATGAATGAACCAGCGCAAAACGCTACGAGCGTCTCCTGAAAGCCAACAACATCGCTCCAGCGGGGGGCAGCAATCTTACCTCGAAGACCACCAACGATGAGGACGCTGATGAAGACGAAGCCGATGGACTTGAGGCCGCCGCGACAGGAGGAGCAGGCAAGGGTCGCAAGCGCAAGAGCCCGACTGCTACTGCGGCTGCTATATCTGGTCGAAAGGGGAAGACGGGTGGCTTTCTGGCGAGGAAGAGGACAAAAGGCCAGCTCATGAAGGAGATGGCTGTGGCTAGAGCGCATAGGATGGTTGGGATGAGTGATTCCGGAGATGAGACTGTTAAGCAGGAAGATGGGGAGGACGATAATGACGATGATCATGGTTTGACCATCAAGAAAGAGGATGCTGATGAGGAGATACTTATGGAAGACGAAAACTGAGAAGCGGAGACTGGGGCTGACAAAGAGATGCTGGGCTTGGACCAGGCTGGCTTCGGTCTGTCTGTACTTCAGTTGAGGTTTTTCTTTTTCAATTTGAGGATGGATAATCTTTCGGGGGCGCTATCTTTGTCCTAATTGGACGTTTTACACGCGCGGCTTTCGAGATCATCAGCTCCTTCGGTGGGCGGTAAATTGCAAGCCTTGCTTTGGTCGACGTTTCCTTATGTGAAACCCGGGTTGATGGCAATATCTTGAAGAGCAATGGGATTTTTTCTGATGGTTTATCTACCGGGAAAATAATCATGAATTCATAAAGTCGGTTGAAGCTGTTAAATCACAGCCTGCATTGGAAAGTAGAGAAGTCAAATTCTATAGTAAGTAGACGCATGTCAAGGTATGTTTGCTCAAAGGGTATCAGTAAAACGAATGAACAGAACCCAAAAACAACAAAGAATCACTCCGGCTTCGTACCCGGAGTATACGAGGCAGATGTGTTATGTCCAAATAGCACAGAGCTGACAGGCAGTGGTTGCCTGTCGAGGTTGCATAAATGTTGTAGGGTATCACAGTTGAAACCTTGCTGTGGGCTAAAGATTATTAAGGATGCGCCGGCTTAGAGGTCTGCCATTACAGACTCTAAGATCTTGCGCTTATAATTAGAGAGAGACCGTTCCTTCTTCTGCATCTGCGCACGAAGCTTGAGGTACCTTTGCCTCCACGTGGCTTCGGAGACGTTTCCATCCGCGCCTTCCACGTCGAATTCAGCATCGGTGATGCTGTCTAGTTCGGCAACACTGTTGTCCAGCTCGTCCGTTGCCCGGAACGAGCTTTCAAACTTGTTACTGTCCGATTTGCCAATGTTAAGGTTTCCGTATGTCACTTTGGTCGAGAACCGTAGCCCGTGCTTGTACTCGTGAGTGATCGTATATACGTGATTTGAAGGGGTTCCATCAACGTTTGGTGCAGTGGAGGAAGCCGAAGGCATCATCTCGATGTGGATGGTCATCACACTTTCGGTGACTCCGGGATAGCCGAATTGGTGTCCGAGACCCAGGTGTAACGCGGACATGAGGGCCGCTGAACCGCCTGGTATCTTCGCGTATGTGGATGTGAGGCTTGAGACAACAGATGATGCCAAACCCCGGCCCTCTTCCGCACTGAGAGGAGCGGACCGACCGACAACCCTACCACGCAGTAGCTCGCCTGCTAGAACACGTACAACGTCGTCCGCTGTAATCTCTGTTTGCTGCACAAGGTTGCGATTGGCATAAGATGAGGGATTGGTGACACCCACATTGCCAGCATAGTCGTAGAGTGGTGCCAGAGTCCCGTTGCGCTGGTTATTCTCGGTTTTCATCATGCCAGAGGCGCTATGGACTCCATTTACCGCCAAGGTGGGCGGTGTCGCGAGGCGCACTGGTCCTCCAGGATGCTGTGGAACCTGGAGCTGCAGCTTATTCGGTTTGGGACCTAAATTGAATGGTGTAGGTGATTGCTGGTATGGTGAGTCACTAAACCGGTTAGTGTGCTCTTGATCGAGAACAATGGCAGGAGATGATCGGATTGCGGAGTTCGGTTGATGGGTGGATTCAGAGCGGACAGGGTTCACTGGGAAGGATGAAAAGGGGCCTGACACTGTTCCTCGATTGGGAGGTCTACCCCGTGTCTTTCCATTGCTCCCATTGTTACTAGGCCAGGCAGATGATACAGCGGGGCCATGACGCCGTTTGGGGCGTGTCTTCTCGCCAGTGGATGGTGTCACTGCTGAGCGTGGCTCTGCAGGCTGAATGAAGATTTCCGATTGATGATTACTTCTGGGGATAATGGCAGAATGGGGATAGCCGTTGGGCGAAGCATCGCGTTCAATATGCTTCCATCGCAGATCTTGACTTTGCTGGGGAGCATGAGTCACAGATGGACCCTCAGTTGAAAATGTATGCGCATTTCCCATCCACGGATCAGTCGACTCTATCTCATCAGGAAATGCACTGAATGGAATAGCGCTGGTGGGAAATGTCGAGGTCTGCCCGGAAAAGGGGCCTGGGTGAATCACGTTCATGGATGTGTCAAGTTGTGGTCGTTTGGCGGCCTTCTCCATCGCCTCAAGTTCGGCTCGTTTTCGCCCGCGTTTTGGCTTCCACTGAGGGACGAGCGCTCGCAAGGCAAGATCTTCTTCGAGTGGTACCCCATCCCGGCTCTCGCTTATAATACCGCTAGGCGGGAGCTGAGTATAATAAGGATGAGGGTGTCCTAGACAATATTCAAAGAAGGCATCGACATGCATCGCACGCATCCAGCGCTACCGGAAGTTAGCGCTCGAACTTTTTCTTGGTACCAAAAAAAGGCATCAAAAATATAATCAAGGAACGGACCTTAAGTCGCACTGCGTATTGCTGAACTTTCTGCGTGCTTTGTTTCTTTTCCATGCAGGGCGGCTCTACCCCCAGCTCGATAGCCAGCTGAATCCAGGTCTTTAACTCTTTGCAATCCAGCTTCTTGATCAGTTCGTAAAGCGCAAATATACTGAAGCTCTTTCCATCACTCCGTGGAGGGCATCTGAAGGTCTTTCGTAACTCCGAGGTGTCCATCGACAAAGGGACATTCGGATTACAATAGAATATAAACATAATGTATGCATCGTCGATGTTTGCGTCCGTGATGTCGCGAGACGGAAGAGACCGGGTCTCAGCCGATTCCATCTGTTCTCGAGTAGACCTCTGGCGCAAAGAGTCATAGTTGGGAGGAGACAATGAGGGTGCTTGGCGCACTGGCACTGGTGCTGGCGCTGGTGCTGGTGCTGGTGCTGGTGTTGGAGTTGGTACCTGTGCCGGTGCTAGTACTGGGGGCACGCCAGGGCGTGGGGCGGTTGGCGATGCTTGTAAGCTGCGCGGGGTAGCTTTGCGGTGAAGAGGGGGCGATTTGGAGGTGGTAATCTGACTGCGAGCACTACCTATTGAAGATGCGCTATGTAAGCCAGGCTCCGGAGCAGGATACCTGGCGTACTGCTGGATAATCATCGGCGGAGGCCCTAATTCCGTCCGGTCTGGCTGGACCGGTTGAACTGGTTGGACCGGCTGGTTCATTACATTTGGAAACGAAGCTTCCATTTTGATAGGGCGTTGGTAAACGGTCTAAACCGAATTACCGGTGATGAATTCTGGAAATCAATGAAAAGGCGACGGAACTGACAAGACAAGATGGAATGCATAAGTATAGTAGGGAAGCGGGAAGGTCTCAGATCGAGGGCTGGAACGGGCCAAAATATAAAGTCAAGTCTTATTAGACGGCGGTGGTAAAAGCACGGGTATTTCGGGGGCCAGCCCAATAGTTGCAGTGCGCGATTGGAGGGATCGGATCCTCGTGATAGGTTCGCCCAAACCGGAGGAAGTACCTAGCAGGTACTAGGTAGGTAGTTTGCAGGTGGTGCAGTGGTATTGTTGATAACGTACGGTAGCTGTACGTATGTAGGTAGGTTAGGTATATACAAACTTAACAAGCAATGGATGGATGGAAATTAGCGACACGGCATTGGAGCAATCACTGCAGGATCATCGCAACAGCGACCGAAAAGATCAAACAACATGGTTGTTCGCAAGCGCCCGACGAGAAAGAAGGAGAAGAGAGAAAGGGAAAGAGGGAAAAAGAGGAGAGAGGGTGGCTGGACGACGGCGGCGCTTTAAAGAACGCCGATGATAGATTAGGAACTTGAGAGGAGCTGACTGTTTCTATTTCGGGTCTCCCCTCGATCCCTCTCCAGGCTTAGCGTGGTGGCCTCAGGGCGGGGGATATTGATGCCTGGGCCAGTGGGCATGCCTGGGCCAGTGCAGTCAGTGTGCCTTTCACTGCCGCCATTCGCATTCAATTGCATTCATTTGAAATGATTGAACATTCAATTGCCTGTCACGCAGTCACACCCTGTCACATGCAACCCTTAGCATTTTAGCCGCCGGTCGCCTGAGCAATCAGGCCACAAGAATCGACTAGTTAACACTAAGTTAACTTAGTACGTATTAGTCATTCCCTCATTCTGCCATCACTTCCCGGCACTACGCCTTTTCCGTCAATCGCTCACTCTGAGTCTGCCCGGAAGTCGTCATTGCTATTTGACTAGTAACTTACGGAGTAGTCAGTCTACCAATCCATGATACTCCAGGCTCCATCCAGTCTTATCGATAAACCCACCACCCCCTTCCGGTCCCGTTCAGGGAAGCCTCGATCCAAACTGGAACTGGAACTTTTGGAGCTGAGGCAGCCGACATCATCCACCTGCTTCGACCTTCAAGTTCGCCAGCTACCTGGTACTTTCCTCAACACTCACTCCCTTCTGCATTTCATTCTCCAACCCCTTGCGACTCATCTGGGATGACCAGCTTATCGATGTTCTCCGGTGATCTGGTGCTAGCCTCTCCAGTCTCAGTCTAGATGCGCCACTATCCACTCTACCTTACTTTCCTACATTGGCGTCATAACCTCGCCCCAGAATGGCCCCCACGCTTCGCACCCCTCCTCGTCAGCGCCCTTCCAGACAATCTCGACCTGTCCGATCTAGTCGCACTCAAGTCCAGTCCTACCACGAAGACAGCAGTTCCGACGATCGGCTTGATGAGGATACCGAATCGGATCGTGAACACGCTGAACGATTGTCGCTTTCTCTGCGCCCTCGAGACTCGAACCGTATGCCGGCCTCCTATCGCGAGGAAACCACCGACGATGAGCTTGACAATCTCAGCGACGAAGGCATGGATACCATGACTCGCAGTGCAGCACCCGCGCATGCACCTCTCACACTCGCCGAAGGAAGCAATCACGCCAGACCACCTAAGCCTACCCGCACACGAACCGTAAGAACAAGATCACAGACAACGAAGGCAAGCCGGCCTCTCAAGAAGAGGCGGATGGAAATTGGGCGCCCGCTTAACAAGCGTCGAAAGCTCGAAGCAGAGGCTGTTCCATATGTTGGTTCGGGTGTTATACCGCCGTGGCAGACGCTTCCCTACCACATACTCCTCGATATATTTGTTCGTGCATCATACCCTCTGATTGACGAAAGGACTACCAGCAGAAAGAGCTCCGTGCAGTGGCTTGTCAAAGTCGCTCTACTGTGCCGTTCTTTTCATGAGCCTGCCTTGGCCGCTCTCTACCATTGCCCTCCACTAATACCCGCTGCTAAGTCTCACGGTTTGCTACAATTGCTAGCCAAACCTCAAGATCAGCTTTCCACAAACTATATCAATAAAATAAAACAGCTGCATGTTGATGTGGAAGCCCTTCTGTTCTACAAGAGTGGGTCGACCCTGGGCTATTTTGAGCTGCCCAAGTTGCTGGAGAAGACTCCTCAAGTCAAAACGCTACGCCTCTACCACAGTCATGATTACGTTGTCGGCCTTCCCCCGTGGCTTATTCAGCGCTCAAAATGGACTTACCCGGACAGTCTTTTCGATGCAATCTCGTCAAGCCCTATCCGCCTTCGTAGCTGGGACTGGAACAGCCGTTTCATGGAGACTCAAAAGCTTCTCGAACTGATGTCACAGATGCACATTCAACCCGCATTTCATCTGATGCAGGACCTAAGAATCCTGCACGTCATGTGTGATGATCCATACAGCAAACAACTGCCCGAGAGCTCCACAGAAAAAGAGATTATTTTGGCCGCGGCCCTTGCTGACCTTCCCAATCTACGGCGCTTAGAGTTCATAGAATGCTCGATTGTCAATGATCACCTTTTGCCCAACCTTCCCACAACCCTCACTTCTCTCACAATAAACAACTGTGATGAGATAACGACCACTAACTTTAGTTCATTTCTTTCGACGCATGGCCGCCATCTTCGAGAGTTGAATCTAAGCCATAACCGTCATTTGAGTATGTCTTTCATTGTCAACTTGGCCGTATCATGTGAGCAACTGGAAGTCTTCAGGATGGATATATCCATGCATGATTGGTCTAGTTACCACGACGTTGAGCCTCATTTTCGGGAACTGCTCTCACAGTCTGAGATTCCGACCTGGCCATCAACACTTCGGGAGATCGAGCTCCTCCAGTTGCGAAACTGGGATGACAGAACAGCAGAGGTCTTCTTCAGCTCGCTTCTCAATGCCGCTCCTAGCTTAGAGAATTTGAGGCGCTTGGTGATAAGCGCAATTCTGAAAATAGGGTGGCGAGATCGAGCAACTTTTCGTGAGAAATGGAAAGGCAAGCTACAAAGAGTTTTTCAGCGACGAAGTCCTCCGCCCAATCCCGACCTTCGCTCAATCCCTCGCACTTCGCTACTACTCAACGCCTCTGACTCTGCAGGAGCCAGAATTAATGAAGGCGCCAGCCATAATTCCGATACTCAACACAGCGGCACTATGACACCGAACAAACGGAAGAGTGCGCGCATTGCTCAAAAAAGGTACTCTGACGATGAAGCTATTATCACAGGGAAGAGGCGAAGATCTCGTGAAGACGACGATGAACCGCTGTTCACTCAAGGCTTGTGCGATGTCGTCATGATTCGAATAGACAATCAACGCCCGACAGAGACTCAGTTCAACGAAGAAGACTTCCTCGACGACGAATTGAGCGGAGACGAAGATTGGAATGGTAACGACATCGACATTGACGATGGCAGACATGCATGGTAGACGCACATCATGCTGAGCCTTTCCATATTTCTTACAAGTTGCTCCGTGCTTTACTTCAGTTGATTCTTACCATCGTGCACCGACTCGTTTTACGTCTTATTCATTAATTCCGACTGCAACGCTCGCACTGGTCCACGGTGAAGTCATATTTGCATTGCTGCATGAGCTTTTATCTTAGAGGGTATATTATACATGGATGGCGGGTAGGAGTATTTCAGGGCGTCTGGCTTCATTATTTCGGAAAGTTTTCGGAACGGCAATCATCGGGAACTGAGTTTGACCGGATATACTAATTGCGTCCCAATACTTGACTTGTTGCCTTAATTATCTTACATCTCGTCGGAAATTCAGCTGCCTACTGGTGGTACTCGCTCGAATATCACTGGTATAGATTCAGACTGGAATAATACAACATGGTCCACACGGTATCTCCAACTACCCAGTAGAGAGATGAGCAGCAATGCCAAATTTCTAGCCCAGCTAACCTCTTTGGCTTGGACTCATGCAGGTGCCCCATGCGGGTATGATTCTCTCAGGCCAACTCCCTAGGCAAGCGTTCAATCGCCTACTGGTAAACCAACTTGCCGTTGTCGTTCTCGATGTGCTCGGACAGGTTGACGTCGGCGGGGGAGTACTCGCCCTCCGAGTTGGCAAGCTCGGCGCGCAGCACTGGGACCTCACCACCACCCTCAATGGAGAAGGTCACATTCCGGGCACTGCCGGAGAAGCCGTTTCCACCCCAGTCGAATCGGCCTGGTTAAATAGTCAAAGAAGTCAGAATATCATTCGCCGGATTTTGTGGAAGCCTGTCGTCATGGACAGGACATACCCTCGTTGTTTCCCAGGAACTCATCCAGATCCAGTGTGGATTCGTGCTCCTCGCCCTCCTCATCCCTGAGGACCGCAACCAAGATATGGTTGTCGTCAATGTGGACGTCCGAGGCGCTCAAGTGGAAGCTCATGGTGGCAATGAAGTATGGGGATTCTTTGATGGAAGGAGGAAGAGGAAGAAGCTGTCAGGCAGGGGTTTGGATTGTGAGGATGAGTGTGTTGATGGTTGAGGATAATGATAATGTGTAATGGCGGAGAGAGGGGAGGAGACCCTTCTTATACCTTTTTCTTGTTATAAGAATTGTGAAAGGGGCTGATCTACTTGCCTTCCCCTCCACCCCTCCATCATCCAAGACTGTTACTGCCATGTTTGGCTTGGTCTCATTAGTTAGCTTCATCGCGCGATTGAGTGGACATCGGGGCTACTAGTCTAGAAGCCCTGTTGGATTTTCCGTGGGGACCCCCTCCCTCTCGTCTCAGTGTGTGGTGGGTTGTAGGGATGTATGGATGGATGTATGTATGCGCATACACTACATGTATCAGAAGCTGCAATGCAACCATAAGCAAACTGTATTCAATCATCAAGCCACTTACGAAAAAGACAAACAAACAAAAACAAGCAGATGGAAAGCTATGTGTCTCTTTCTGGGATTGCATTGTTGTTTTTCTTCTATGCTTTTCTCTGCCTGGAGCGGGCCTTCTTCACCATATCATTAGATAGTATCATGTCTCAAGAAGCGAAATGGGTACTATTCATATGAGTATCGGCCACCTGTCATGAGCACTATTGTTTCACCGTAGAAAATCCTCACAACAACCACGACCCCCCTCCCTCCTCCCCACTCGCGCACCTAGTCCCTCTTGGCGGCCAATTCAGCAGTAATGGACCCTGAAAGGTATCCCATCCTCCGGCCCCCCCCTCGGCGCTTGCGCGGGCTGAAGCAAAGGGCCAGGTGAGACGTGACGTTATTGCTGCTCTCTGTCTGCCGGTTTCGGGGGCTATCGAGACGGGTTGATTGGGGGGGGCATTTGCTGTTTAGGCAGAAGTCTTGGTATAGCGATTGAGAATCATTGTATGGCGGGACCCTGGTCCGGGTCCCTGTCTGACTCCGTCGATAGTGGGGTTCCTTGATTCCGGAACAGCCACAATCCCCACAAGTGATTGCAATGATATTGGTTTGAAGGACTGTGCCAAGAATGAGTTAGTACTACTACTGAGTGCGATGGAGAGTCGTGGACTGGGAAAAGTGGCGTAAGGCTGCCCCCCGTCGGGTGGCTGAGTTTCCGTTCCTCGTGAGAGGGAGGTGGTTGATTTGGTTTTGTTTGCTGTCAATAATGGTAAGAGGTAAGGTAGTTATCGTTATTTGCTTTCCCTTCCGTCGCCTTGCAGGGCTGAGTGCTTGGCATAGGAGAGGTTCGGGGGCCGCTGACGGGTGTCAACGGTTGGAGTGCCAGTCTCACAGGGGCGCGTAGTTGGTGGCTGGTGCTTCCATCTGAAGTCAGGTGAGCTGGCAAGTAAGGAGATGACCCGTAACGACGTTACAAGCGATGTGAGACCATGACGGTCAAGGTGGGGAGGGGAAAAGCGGGGAGTTTCCCTCTTTCCTCTCCCTCTTTTCCCCTCGCTGGATCTTCTCCTGACAGATTGACACTGACATGGCAAGGCGGTGAATGCCCCCCCCCCCCGGCTCTTCTCCCCCTATGTCTTTGATTGTCTACTCCGTACACATTCTCGTGAACAATGGCCTCACTTTCTAGTGAGCTAAGAGCTTGCTCATTGCGGATTGCGCTTGCACCTCTAAGCCAGACTCGCATTGGGAGCTGTCCCAGTTTTCGACTTTCGGTTCATTGGCGAACATACCTTCCTCTCCCGATGGTCGCATACAGCGGCTGTCTTCCGACGAGCACTGTTTCACCAGGATGTCCATGTCAGATAGGGGCGAATATCCGTCATCGACTGGCCATCAACCATGAACAATAACTCATGACCTAGTCGTGTTACTTACTCTTGAAACAGCCCCGAGCACAAGACGTCGCCAGAGTTGAAGCGATTCGCTCCCCCTCCTGAGATCCTGGCTTATTGCTTGACAGAGACGCTGCGACTTGGTCCAGTGACATGAGTGACATGAATAATGCCCGTACTCCGCAGAGTAGTGAACCTCATACACAATTTGGGCTCCACTCGAATCGGCTGATGTTCTAGGACGCCTCTTCCCGAATTCAGCCATATCCTGGTTTGGAGAAAAGCACCCAAAACATCGATGATAACGCTAGAGGTTACCGAAGTATTGGTGGAGAGACTTGTTCGCGTATACCGAGCGACAGGTGATCGAGGCCGTGCAAGCCGGGTATAGGTTATAATCCACGTGCTAGTTGCCCTAGACAGTCGCGCTGGAGAGGCTCAATGCAGGCTTCATTGGGAATGTCAACTGTATAGACTTGCTTCTTGTCTCTATACGACAATCTCAGATTACCCGCACTCACGGAGCTCTCCGCCTAATGTTGTGACAGCTGGTCTTGAACCGCGTAGATATGAGCACGCCGGCATAGTGACTGGCAAGGGTCAACAGATCTAAACGCACGTAGTGTATCGTAGTGCTTACTCTTCCAGCAAATACTCGACCACGCTAGGGTTGGCTGGACAAAGAACACTTGTGCTATCAAATGGCTTACGGTCGGTGACAAGCTAGAGTGCTCTGTTGCCGCAGTCTAATCAAAGCTTACGATAAACGAGCCATCCAATGCATGGCTCTGAATTATATTTGCTCGCCCACTGCTTGCTTGACCGCTTGCGCCTCTTGTGATCACGGGCCACCGCACTACATCATGTTTGACGCGGTGACTTTCCAGGACCTGGAAGCATGTCCAGCTCTAAGTGGTCAGTATTTCTGCTCAACCTTCAGCCTAATCACTGTTATTTATGACTGTGTATATAAGTACGGCTGCCCGTCGAGCTCGATCAGGCCAGCATGCTACCTACCACTGACTTCTTGTCGATCGCACCATGGTCACTACATCTGAGCCAGCTCGTCCTTGGGCCGACGGGCCCTGGCCCTTGATCGAAACCCCTTCAAAGACCCGGAATGTTGTGAGTTTCTTTCCCTTTCTTCCAGGCTACAAGTCTCGTGCTAATGAGCACCTGCAGTCAGAACATCCCGCCGTCTACATCGCGAACGAAATGGCCTTTGCCCACAACAGCATGTTGAGAGGTTTGAACAGCATCTACCTCCAGGCATCGTTCGTTCAAAAGCCCCGGGATGTCTCCGACTTTCTCTTCTTCATTTACGCGTGGGCAGGCTGGGTATCGCATCATCACGTCCTCGAAGAGGAGAAGATGTTCCCGGGATTTGAAAGAGTCATCGGTGTTCCCAACTTCCTTGAAACCAACGTGGAGCAACATCACTCCTTCCAGCCTTTGTTGAAGAAGCTCTTGGAGTACAGCAGCAAGACACAGCCGGCAGACTACCAGGCGTCTGTGGTCCGTCAACTGATTGAGGAGATGGCACCCAGTTTCCGCCAGCATCTGAGCGATGAAATCTCGAGTTTACTTTCTATGGAACCGTATGACGGGGACGCATTGTTGGAGATCTACAAGGAATGCGAGGCCGATGCAGGCAAGCAGGATAAGGTACTTTTTATCCTTGTGCTTCTCGCCCCTTACTCATTCCACCGGGTTTCTGACACTCTCGATTGCAGCATGTGGTGCCTCCGATGGTGCTGGGGCTTCGCGACATCACTTTTGAAGGAGGCAATCAGTGGCCTGCCATGCCACCGCTGTCGGCATGGTTTGTTTACTACTTCTTTTCCGGCAAGCATTCTGGATCATGGCGTTTTCTGCCGTGCGATACCTGGGGGAACCCACGCGCATTGGCATTTGTGGAGGAGAACGCTTGATAAAAGTGTAGCGACCGAGCACGAAGCGCTGGTATTTAGGTAGCTGATGATTGAAAAATTTGCCCAAGGCGCAAGTGAGGCATAGTCCGTTTTGTGCTGTTCCCCCCGCCGTCTGCGGTCAGCAAGACCGAAATGGTCCATGGATCAACGTAGTCTAATTGCATAGTAGGAATGAGGCAATGTAGCACCTTATAGATCGAGCTGTAGGTGATAGGTATGATGCATTAGATCCCACGATTGGAATATGATCGGCCTGACTACCGGCGGAGAACTCAGGATTTGTTTTCCGCGCCGAATTAAAATGCAGCTCTGGCCGGCGAGCTAAGAAACGTAGCCGGGCAAAAGTACGGAGTACCGTGGACTTCAACTGTGCCTACTACCTGTACGGAATACTGCTTCGGAGAACCCACACCGGTCAAGGAAACGAACAGAAGACACGCCACACGAACAAACGCCTTGCATCCACGCTTACCCAATGATTATCACTCCAGACCACTAGCTCTCAAGAGCATTGTCTGCTAGGAGCAAGTCGAGTCCATTCGTATCTGGTTCAACGCTTGTTTCTTGTCCAAATGATAGTGGGTTTCCCCACATGTCGTGCCGGGGACGCGCGGGATATCCACTTCTTGTTTATGGAATGGGGCCAATCGCATGTGCTTTATCGAGGCGACTTTTTGTGGTCTTTAAAGGCTAGATGTATCAAGGTGCATTATCCCTACCGCCAATCCACTAAGGGATGGGGGATTTTCTAACTTAAAATCACGGACCAAGCGCCACAGGGGAGGCGCCGACCCCGAGTTCACCAGGTGATCAGTGCTCGTCTCATTCAGAGCGTAGACTCTGGACTTGTCTATCGGTACATCAATCCTTCCTGCTCCACCACCACTACCACCACGTCTTTCAAGCTTCACCATGGCATGGCCTCTCTCCATGCACCAGATACCTCCCACCGCAGACTTGGTACAGGCTAGCACGCTTTCGTTCACCATTCCAAGTACCATTCCCCAAACTGCCTTCCCAGGAGAAAGTCATGACGACGACGGTATCGTGGATTCAGTGAGTGCTCAAGAGTGCTGGCACTTACAAGCCTAGCATCTCGTTCTTTTATGTGTTCGTCAGCCATTCGCTTATCCCAGCTCATAACAGGGGCTTGATGACGACTTTTCAGACTATGCGGAGGAGCTGTAAGTAGCTGTCTACTTGGATACGATGAGAGTTCACCACTGATGAGCGCACAATGCCATAGCGCGAGCGATACCACATCATTGAATTCCGAAATAACAACGTATCGCTATGAGAATGGACGACGATACCATGCATACAAGGACGGAGCTTATTGGTGAGCACAGCAGCCAATGTCTTCCCAATCACTAATTGTATGAACCTGACCTCATCTTGCCAGGGCTCCGAATGATGATAAACAGAATACACAGCTAGATATCGCGTGAGTAGTGGAGTCGGGAAATCGCTAACCCGCGTTGACACCATGCAACAGCCACCACATGTTTACATTATTGCTGGATGGCAGGTTACAATTAGCGCCCACCGGGAATAGCATTCAGGTATGTTGAGCTAGTTTCAAAGACATCATCCTTATCAGACGACCCGTATTGTGCTTACAATGTACCCAGAGAGCACTTGACATTGGCACCGGTACTGGTATTTGGGCCATGTACGTGTCGAGGCAGCCTGGGTGAGACGCGGCATTCTGACCAACACTGTGATTAGTGATTTCGCGGATGAACACCCCTCTGCCGAAGTCATCGGTACGGATCTGTCGCCCATCCAGCCAAGCTTCATCCCCCCTAACCTGCAATTCGTGATTGATGATGCGTCGGAGGATTGGATCTATCCTGCGAACTACTTCGATCTGATTCACACCCGTACTTTGTACGGAGCAATTGCGGACTGGCCACAATTCTACCGCAAAGCCCTTAGGTAAGCCTTTACGTTCTGTTATACTTTCTGCCACCATAACTGAGAGAGCTTGTTTAATATTGTCTCAGACATCTGCGTCCTGGAGGATGGTTCGATCAACTCGAGATGTCCATACAATTCCGATCAGACGACGAGACATTAACGGAGGACCATGTGTTATCAATCTGGTCGAAGACGTTCATCGAGGCCGGTGAGAAACTAGGGAAGACTTTCCGCATTGCTGAGCTAGCGGCTGGCTATATGCGAGATGCAGGCTTTCAGAATGTTGTTGAGCACCGGTACAAGTTGCCGGTGGGTCCGTGGAGCAGAGACAAAAAGCTGAAGAGTCTCGGGATATGGAATCTAGTTCATTGCGAGCATGGCATTGAGGGCTGGGCTATGGCCTTGCTTACGCGGGTAATGAAGGTACGTGACGAGATCTCGATACTCATCGATGTCTATCTCATCTCGAGTCGTCGAGATCAAGCTGGCGCTATTTGCGTGCTGGAAACCATATGGGACGATAGGCGCTGACGGCATCCCTATGTATCTTAGTGGACCTTCGCGGAAGTACAGGTTTTCTTGGCTCAAATGCGCAAAGGCCTGCGGGATCCAAATATTCATGCTTACTTTGAAGTGTAAGTCCTGAGTGTCCCTGTGTGATGGCCTAATGCTTACTTATCGCCCTGGCGTGCTTCAGCGTCGCAGTTTATGGCCAGAAGCCTATACACACCGTTTAGCTCAGAGATTCAATGCATGGGGAATATGCCGTAAGCTCAAAGGCGGCAATAGCCAAATGACTATGGATGGTCTCTGAAGCGTACCCAGATAGGGTTGATATCTGTACAGCTGCTGGCTTCAGGAACGGGAAAGCACCAGGGACATTGGGAAAATGTCGAGCTTTACTTCCAGAAATACAAACCGCATACTGTGCGATAAATGCACATTCTAGAAGGCGTCCGTCATCGACGAGACTTTTTACAAAGAAGACTTCAAACAGCCGAGGGTAGGTAGTTGATTGGCTTCGATAGTCATCTGATTCGTCTTGCCTGTGCAGTGCATACATTCTTTGGTAGAGTGATATCTCAAAAGACCTAGAAGGAGAATAGCTGTTGCTATACCTAAGGTTACACTGTAATGTCTCTTTCTATATACTCACTTACTTAACAGGTCTAGTCAGGGCGGCATGGATATAATCGATTGGATTTCTGTCGAGTATGACTGTTAGTGTGCCGGTTGCTAAGCAGTAACACACGCTGATACTTAGGCTACAAGTGAATAACACTCGGGTCTAGATTTTTCTTCCACTTTGTCCACTGTTTTTCTTTTCTCTGTCTACTCTCTTTTATTTATTTCTCTGTCTGGTCAACTCCTCTAAATCCTTTCTCTTCATCTCTTACCCCGACCACACACATCCAATTTTCCAACTTATCTAGAAACATTACATTACATCAAGATACTCTAAGCCATACCACATTCTATCAAACCAAAACCCAAATTTTGTCGCAAAGATGCCCATGACATGGAACGAGGCGGCAGATGCTAAGGTACGTGCCTTTTCTGCCTTTCTCTCTTTCTCTCTCTCTCTCTCTCTCTCTCTCTCTCTCTTGAATTCCTCTCGCAGCCACACAACTAACAACCCGAAAACAAAGCTTCTTCTGGCCATCCTCAAGACCGGAAACGTGAAGCCCGACTACGACCGCATCGCTCAGTATCTGGGTCCAGGTATGATCAAAGTCCATCCTGCTTCTCGATCCCCTTCTAGACAGCCATTCTCTTCTGCCCCGAGCCTTCCGCTAAATGATAAAATCTAGAGTGTACACCCATCGCGGCTCAGCGCCGGATCCAACGTCTGAAAGAACGCGCCTCCTCGGAACAAACCGCAGACGGCCCTCCCGCCCTTCCCTCGACCCCTACCAGGGATTCCACCGGCGGCGTTGATCCTGCCTCCGCTCACGGCACCCCCGCCTCTGGGCCGAGGAAGCGAGGAAGACCTCCCAAGGTGAAGGTGGAAGCCGATGGTAGCGCTGAGGCGGCGCCGGTGACTCCGAAGAAGAGAGGCCGCGCTAAGAAGGTCAAGGCTGAAGAGATGGAAGAGGAGGCTCCGCATGGAACGACCGACACGAATGATGGATCTCAGCCCGTGTATCAGAGTATTGAGGATGCTTACATGCAGGAGGCGATCTGATTCGCTTTCCTAGATCTCGGGTCTGATTTTTCGTGATGTACTTAATCTGGCTCTTGAGCTGCAACTTTATTGTGGGGATGGCGAAGCTGGGTTGTGCTTCGGAATGTCGAAGATATGAGATGGGTTTTATTGCAGTTCTAGGTTGGGGGTTTTTAGTTCTACGTGGGATAGGCACTGGTGGGATCTTGATGATCAAGCTGTAATTGCAGTTCTTGTAACTATCTCATTCTTGTGAAAGTGGCATCATTGCTAGAACAAGCAGTACTAAGTCTCATTGCGTAAGAACTCTCGATAAATCGCCCTCTAAAGTACATACAGACAAATTATTGTGAACAGTCTGATCTTAACTCGAGATGGAGAAAAAAAAAAAAAAAAAGAAAAACCAAAACGCAACCTGCCGCCCCCAGTCACCATCTCGATAAATTTCCGCCCTCTAGATATAGTTCATCATCGCACCGCGAGGCGCAGCAACCATCTCATTCTCCGGGCAGTACTCCGAGGCCGAGCTCTCAACATCCACCTCCTGCTCGTCTCTGCCAAAGTGGTGGTGCGTCGTCCAGTTGACCATCCCCGGCGCCGGAGCAGCCGGCTTACGCACTCTCTTGGACGGAGTATCTTGCTCGACGTGGGCAGCAGCCGCGGCTCCATGCGTCTGATACAGGGTATGCCCCGCGAACAGCTGGTTCGCCGCACCCATCCCAGTATGAGCGAGAGGGGTCTTCTTCGTTGGGGTGGTGTCCATCATGTGGGTGTCGATGCCAAAGGGGTTCAGAGCTTCTATCTTGATAGGAGAGGGCGCGGCTCCCGCCTCGCTCTTGATGAGGGAGTCCGCGGGCATGGACTCTGCCTTGATAGCAGTTTCTCGCTTCCGCTTGGTGGAGCTGGGCGTAGCGGGTGCGCTGTTCTTGCGGGGCTTGCGAGGGGTGGCGGTTGGGGTGATGGGGTTGTTGTCGTCCTGATTGCTTCCTTTGCTGGTGCCGCTGGCGGTTGTGCCTGCCAGATTACGGATTCTGACGAGCCTCTCGCTGATGGCTCGAGGTGTAGGGGGGAGTTCTCCTGCGGCAACGGCTGGGTATGAAGGGGAAAGTTCGTGGTTAGCAGAGTAGGTTTTTCAGGGAGACTGAGGACGAGTAGAGACAAGCTGGGGAAGGGAGGGGGGGCTTACGCCATGCTTCCGCTACCTTCCTGTAGTTCACGGACAGGTTGTGCGTCTCGACGATCTTCAGCAGAAGCTGTGTCGATGTTAGCTGCTTGAGGGAAATAGGAATCGGGAATAGAGAGAGACAAAGACTAAAGAGGACATACAAGTTGATCAGCTTCAGGAGTCCAGCGCATTCTTGCGTATGTAAGCAAGGTAGGGTGAAAAGAGGACTGTTGTAAGTACTATCTGATGAGGTATAAGTTTTACTAATTAAAGACTTCAGGTGACTGGATGATAGATTTGAATCTGAAAGAGTAAGAGACAAGGTAGAGAAGACGAGATTTGAGGAGTTGTTAAGGTGAACAGAAAAGGATAAGAGTATATAGTAAGAATTTTAGAACCAGAAGAAAATCTCTAGTCTATCAATTTTAGAGATATCTACCTCCAGGCTCAAGTGAATGATCCCAGCCTCGCAGGTAACAGTGACCAGAACCTGTCTTAGTGGGTAAGCAGCTCAGGTATCACTCACAACTCTCAGCCTGCCCTCGACAACTTCCCACCCCCCACTGTTTGCATCACAATCTGCAGTGTTCTCTCACTCTCGATTTCCTCGATAACTTAACAGGATTCGAGGACGTGTTACTGCTTGAAATTTGTTCTTGTGCTGCAGGAATCCACTTGCCTGCAGCCGCTGTTTGAGCCTTTCCTCCGACCGGGATCCTGCATCTTGACTGATCACTTTGTATACATCCGATTTGTGACAAAGGTACAGCACGCTACGCCATTGCCCCCGTTCCAGACCCTGTGTGCTTATCATTCTCCTTTCTCAGCCAGCTTCATTCTACACGTCGAATTGTGAAAGTCTTACGCTGCGACACAGCATCGTACATTCCCTGCCTCGTCCGCCTGTCCCCGACAAACAGAAAGCGCCGATGGACAAGGATCTCTACCTATCTCATCCACTCAATCACAGTACAATTTCGAGGGACTTTTGACAGCCCCGTTTCGGTTGCTGGAGGAATCTGTTAGCGCCCTTGTGATCTGACTGGAGGGCATCCGGATTCTTGGTTCTGCACTGTGAATAAATACAGGATTGGGGCTCTCTCATTTCGGCGGTCAGATACTTCATCTGCTGTTGCACATTTCTTCCTCTGTTCTTTGGTCTTGTTTGATCTGGCAACCCAGTGCGTTTGCATCCCAAGCTTCCTTGGACTCGAATCACAAGCATTCTCTGTTGGAGCTCTTACTTCCTTGTGACAAGATGGTCAACTGGAAGGCTCCGGAGTCGACCGATCGGCTCCTCGCATCGTTGATTGTGGCCCACCCCGGCCTGAAGGTATAGTGCCCCGCCTCCACCATCAGCAACCCCAAGGGCTCGATCTGACTGAAACAACTACAGCTGGATTATAAGGCTATGGCAACAGCTTTCGGGCAGGGCGCAAGCTACGACTCCATCGAAGGCCGCTTCCGGAAATGGCGTAAAATGGCCGACGAGCTTCGCGGCGAGCTGGATTCGCGAGGCATCAATTTCACCGAGCTGCGGGCTCGCAACAGCTCGTCTGGCATCTTGACCCCGCGGACCCCTCGAGGACCCCGCAACGGCGTGACAAAGGCCAGCCAGCCCGCTCCATCATCGTCCCGCGCTCGCAGAGACAGCCGTACTATCTCGCAGAAGACGCCGACCAGGCCCGCGAAGGGCGGTAGCAGTACCCGTACCCCTACCATCCATGGCGGCTCGCTCGTGCAGGCGATCTTTGTAGAAGATAGCACCGAGGAAGAGGACAAGAAGGATCTGACGTTCAAGCGCGAGAGTAGCGAAGCAGTGCCCTACGGGCTCATCACCCCAGTCAAGGAGCCCAACGACCTCATGATCGTGGACTCTCCTGCCACCGGTGGTCCTGGTGTCTCTGCACTCAGTTCCACTAGACATGGCAACGCCCGGTCGGAAAAGAGCGCGCAGAAGGCCCTTATGCCTGCCCTGCCGACCATCTCTGGCTTCGAGCACGGCGGCCATGCGTCGTCATCCAGTGTCGGTCTTCATCACTCCTCCGGTTTCCATCCCATGGATGACATCCAGCAGCGGTTACACGGTCATGTTTTTGCGTTCGATCATCTGTTGGACTCGGTCCCGTCTGGGTCGTATCTTGGTGGTGATGTCGTTTAGGATCTTACGTTTTCGTGTTCTTACGCTTCGATGTTCCAACCTTTAGGAGGGATTGTCTCCGGCTCTCCCTGTTTACCCCCTACACGTTTTGTATTTCTATTCTGGAAATGTTGTTCAAACTATCAGCCATCCCACCCCGTACAGTAATCAAGAGAGTGACGAGAGAAAGACTTTCGTGTGTGGCTGAGCCGGCGTCAGTCTTTACAGCTGGCAATGGGCGGCGAGCGGGGGACAGTTGATAGATCATATGGCGGCTTGTCTCCATGCATCGGTGCATGGGTCTAGAACAAGACATGCTTGCCGCGGCGGCTGACTGACTTTTCAAGGTTCATCCAGTTGGTATGTGTAAAGAATTGCATCTTATGCTCATGCATGGTCCGAAAAGCCAATCTTGTGAGTTTTTATGTAGAAGATATGCAAATATACTCTCCGTATCTAGCATTAACTTACATGAGTCGAGCAAGCAAGCAAAACCCTAGCCCCGAGCCCTGAGCCCTACCCGCCCCAATCTGGAGTATGATCATCGAATCGACCTGAAGTATTTCAATCGAGACCTAAGAGTAGTAGGAGGGAATGTTGACAGAGTAAAATAAGATCCTTAGTAGAAATGTAATCGGCTGCTACACTTCTAATTCTGGATTCGTATTTTTTTTCTGTGCTGCCAATCCAGTTCAGAGTGACTGGGTACCTACATCACAAGGTATCATTGACCATGCTTCCATGGCCGGCTGTATTCCAGCATCAAGAAAGACAACTTGCAACATCCTCATGCTTCGAAGACCACGATCCAGCAGAATTTTATTTCGATCAATAATCAAAATACCAGCCTGGCCATATTTATCAACCTACCAAGGTTACGCCTCCCACCCCCCCGAAGTCGTCCCCCTTGTCTTATCCCTGCCCCCTGCCATAACACACCCTTCACAACCTTCCCTCCACCCACACGGGCTTCAGATCCGTGACGAAAACCACATGTTGACTCAACGCAAGGAGCGCACCGGACTCATCATAGATCTGCAGGCTCACATCGTAGCGACCGCGCGCGATCTGATACGAGGTGGAGCGGGTCAGAACCCATTCCGTGGCCGGATCGGGCCGTCTCTTGAACTCGATCGACAGACACAGGGTGGAGATGGCGTGCTTGGCGTAGAAGTCGGGGGTATGGGTTGCTGCGGGATGGAGGGGCTATGTTTTGGGAGGTTGTGGATTTGCTCACATTAGGTTTTTGAAGAATGTATACGTGGGGGGGTTTCTCTGGTGACAATATATGGGAAAGAGTTGGGGTTGGAAAAGGACGAGGGGTGGGGCGGGAGGAAACTAGACTGACCAGGTCCGAGAGGTATGCTAGATGTAGAATGTCGGAGAATTTGGTCCCATCGCGGAAGGAGAGCCAGACTTCGCGGTTGTGTCCCCCGAGACGATGGCCCCAGAGTCCGTTGGCGGAGCGGGGTGCAACCCAATGCATCTTGCGGGTTACCGGAGTGGCGTCGACAACGGGGTTGTCGATGGTGGTGCATTCTGTTTGTCGGTTGGGTAATGGTGGTCTAATTGCTGCTGCTGCTGCTACTTTTGTTGATGCGGAATGGGGCTCTAGGGTGAGGCCTTGCTCTTTGGAGATATCGGCATAAGTGAAAACGCCGAGGGTAGTGGTTATAAGTGATGGTGATCCTGTTGTGTTCGGGGTTTCTCTCTGGTCCTTTAAAGCAGCAGCAGCAGCACGTTTCAACTCAACCGTGACGACGCATCGTCGAGATGAGGTTCGTGAGATGGTACAGGTAATGGTGCACTCGCCCGGGTGGACTTCCCGGAGGAACTGCACAAAGGCATGCACGGGGTCGGGATAAAGACCATCGCCCAGCTCCTGTTCGAGAAATTTCCGACCAGCGGACAACATGACCGCCGCGGAGAATCCTCCCAAAACAGAACTGTCTCGGGTCAACTCAACTCAGTGGAGAAGGTTGAGGCGCTCGCAACCGCGCGCGCGCGCAGCAGCAGCAGTCGGATAGACATACTGTTGAGTGCACCAATCTCGAGTGATTGTGACGGTGAACTGACCTCGCGTCCCTGGTACAGGCGCTACGGATGACACTACCTCCAACAAACTAGGTTTGGATTGCGGTGGCATATTGGTGTTCAACGAGAGCTGGTTTGATCGCCGGTGTCAATGGTATTAAGTACGAAGTTGTTGCTACTGGGGCAGATTTGGCGGCTGCAGAGACAGGAGGTCGTGCGGACTCGTTCGTGTCTTCAGGAAAGAGCAACCGATCGCCTGGGCTGTCTGGAGCCGAACTATGGATTCAACGTGGTTCATATAGGAACCCCGACCAGTCCGGGGTATTGGAGAAGAGGGGGTAGCTCATTGTGTCTTCGACTCTGCATGGATTTGTACCACCCTGTCAAAAGCCTACAACCTGTAGGAGGGGATTCGTCGGCTTCGTGAAAGACGGAGGCCCAGCCATGGGCGACTAGCATGGATGGAATTTGGAATGACGACACTTAGACTGAACTGAAAGAACCAGTGCCAGACCAGGCATTATTATTGACACCTTCTTGAATGCTCCCGGAATTCCGCCGTGCGCCCAACCACGATCCATGGAATGCAGATCGGGAGTCGATTCAGGTTCTGGGCTGCAAAGACTAAATGCGGGAGATCATCTCGGAGAAGAGATTTTTTTTTTTGATTTGATTTGATTAACGAGCCGAGGTTCGTGGATAAAGAAGGACTTCGATGCGAGGCAACAATCCAGCGTTTAGCCGAGACAACAATGGGGATATCCCAAACAGGTTATATGATGTGTGATGTGTGGACTGTATGTGCAGGCAGAGTACAGACAGTACTGTACAGTACTGTAGTCGGAGTAGGACGGCTCTTTATGCATGAAGCTTTCTGAAGGTGGGGAGGGGGCGTCGGAACACAACCGGTCAGGCCGTTAGGTCCATAATTCATGATTATACCACTCGATAATAAGAAAAGATGCGACGCTGCTTTCTGATCGAGTGCTTGTCCGGTTCCCTTAAGTCCGGACATGAGTAAGTCAATTAAGAGATCGGTTGATTTCGACCCAACTTGACCCTCGAAGTCATTAGAAAATCATCAAATCATCAAATCAACCCGCCGACCGCCGATCACGTGGGCTGACGCGGACGCGGCGCGGTTTTCGCCGCTCGGCTTTTGCTACTTTTTGCCTCTGCCTCTGCCTCTCCCTCTGCCTGTCTTTAGTCTTATGCTTTTGCTTTTGCTTTCAGGCATTAATTAGTTATTATTTATTTATTCCGTTTATTCGTTTTCCATTTTCATGTAATTTCGTTTGGGAAAAGCGGCGGCGGCCAAACTGGAAATCTCCTGATCCTTCCCTCTAATTTTTTCCTTTTCCCTTTCCCTTTCTCATCCTCCATCCTTTCTCCCTCCCTCCTCCCTCTTCTCCTTTTCTTCCCTTCCTCCCCCCATCAGGGGCCATTCTGCCCTCCCTCACTTCTCCAAGGATATTGTGTGCGTGTGTGTGTGCTTGGTGCGGTGTGTGTCTTTTTTTGAGAACAGATCACAGATAATCTTACCAGATCAATCTCTCCGAAATGGAGTATTCCGGAACTACGGTCCTGAACCCCGTGCGGCCCGATCACTCCTTATGGGGAAGAAGCACACCGCAATCTCAGATTATCATCAACCCCTCGCAGTCCTCGGCCGCCATCAAGCCCGACCCCATCACTCTCCCTATCACCACCACCACCACCATCACCGCTACCGCCACCGCTACTGCCCTGATCATGAATAAAGATTCGCCCTCGCAGTCCCTTTCTCAATCCACCTCGGTCGACAAACCCATTCTGCCCATGGAACCCACCCACCCCGGTCGCGGCAAACAACTCACCATTCCCGAGCAAGTATGTCTTGTCAAACTATGTGCCGCCTCCATGGATGATTACGATGCCCACGCCTACCCAAAGAGTTTCTGGATCAAGATTGCCAACACCCTCGAGATGCGGACCGGCCGTCGCTACTCCTGGCAATCCTGTCGTCGTCGCATCTACACCTACGTCGCCAAACGCTCCGCTTACTATGAATCCTTCCGACAAGGTCGCCCCCATCCGACTATCGACATTCCCAAGGAAGTCCTCGGCCTGTTGAACCATTGGATCAGCGACATTGACCGGGCCAAGTACACTGAGAACCGCCTGGCCGAGGAGGTGCGGACCAAGCCCAAACCCGTTGCTCCGGTCGTTGCACCCGTGCACAAGGAGACTACCACGGCCCAGCCCGCGGCGCGGATTACCCTCCCTGAACACGATATGGTGGTCACCTTGAACCGGGTATATACCTGGCTCCGGAATCTCCCACCCCCGGAGGAGATGGAGCAGATGGCAATGTGGGGCGAAGAACCGAAGGTCGCCGCCGCTCCAGGGCGAACACGGGGTGATGTATTCGCTGCCTTCGCTCGCCCACTAAGCCGAGATACCACCCCGCAGCAAACGCACCGGTCGCTCTTGGGAGTCGGGGACCGCCTCGGTCAAACAACTGCCCAGCGTTTGGCGGAGGAAAGAACCAGCTCTCCCTCGCAGGCAATGGCTCCGCGGTCATCGTCTATGGCTCTCCACCAGTCCTCTCTGGGTCACAATCCTCTCAAGAGACATCGGGATGCTGATGATGAGGGCGCCTGCGACCGTCCCGCTCAACGTCTTCGCGCCTATCCCGATAGCAATGCGGTTGCCTTGAACACGGCCCTTGGTGGATCCGTGGACAAGTCGTTGCTGGTGTTCCGCCACAAGATGAAGATGATCGAAGAATGTATTGAGTTCACCTTCGGCAAGATCATCGACCGAATCTCCCCGGGTATGGGACGACAGGAGACCAAGCCGCCGGGGTTTCCGGGAGCGTGCGAGTCGATCATTAATGATCTTTTCAAGGACGTGGGCATGTCTGTTGCCCGGGCCTTGTTGCGCATCGACAAGGCATCTGCTGCAGAACGTGCAGCCACGAACACGAACTAAAACCGATCGACATATCGATACACATATACGACATTCGTACATATATACCTTCATGATGATTGAGTGATATGAGGTTTCTTTACGTCTATACCTGATCTTTGGCTTAGCTTGATTCACCGTTTCAGCACGCTACATTTTTTTTCTCATTTCCTAATTTGCATTTCAAATGGGTGGCTCTCTGTCTTTGATGTTGTTGGTTTACCCTTTTTGCATTGTTCATCGCATTTACCTTTCATCTGTTCTCATGAGCATCAAATTGCCTAGAGATACCCATTTCCTTGCAGCTTGAGCATTGGCTTTGCGTCGTTCACGATTATCCTTGATGTTTTCGTTATGGTTCAAAATTTAGGCATCGTTTGTTTTGGATTTCAGTCGCAAATATAGCATAGCATGCATACCCACCCCATAGACTGATCAGAATGAGGTAATTGGACTTGGACTTAATTTCACCGATCCGACTCGCTAGCGATGATTCCATGAGTGGTCGCATGATTTTTCAAGGTGTAGTTCGAGTAGCAATGTTGGCATGAAGAAGGTTCTCATCGGGGTGTTGGGGTTTTCTCGATCTTTGGTCCAAGTTCGAAGTATATCCCGGTTTAGTGTGCCCTGGCCACCGCCCTCGCTGAACATCTCTTCTACATCCTCGAGGTTCTTGCTGCATGTCTTATGGTATCTGAAGCTAGATTTCAGTTTCTCCTGCGACATGGATCAGAACAAACAGAAAAACCAACAAGACTTACGTTGGAAAAAGGTTATAAAGAAATATGATAAAATAAAGAGCTGCTCAGCTGCTCAGATACGCGGGGCCTTCTAGCACGATGAAGAGCCTTTCTCTCGATCAGCCCCGCGCGAAAATGAAGAGCCAGTGCTTGTCATTGATGTTGACCATACACATTCATGGCTGGACAACCAATCTGACACAAAGCCCATCATACTTGGTCTGAACAAGTACCAAGCCACAGCTGAGCAGTGATTCTACTTTGCGAAAGCTGGAAAGACGAGGACCAGGATCAACCGGGCGACACAGTCCCCAGGCGGACATGCTAGCGTGACATCATTATTTCGTGAGACGTCTGGTTAAGGTTGGTTTTGCGTTTTGCTTCCCCGCCTTGCGCTTGACCTAAAAGAAGGGGATAGGGTAAATCGTGAGGTAGTCGATTATGAGCTCAGGTGCATTCTCACCGCACGTCTGGTAGTGAGTATCCATATGGAAGCACTGCGCTGCAGCATCTTCAAAGTGTTACTCTTTGCAACCTCTCCATAATGTCCGATACCCTGTGAATAGCTGTCTCGAGCTTTCGTGGTAGCTTGACCTGAATGGGACCATGTGAACGGAATGTGCCAGTAGAGGCTCTTGGTCGCAAGAGGCATTGATACGATGAATACACCAGAATGTATGAATTGCTTTGAGTGCTTTCCTCCCTGATTGATTGAAAGTGTTGAAAATGAACAAGGGAGGTTGTGCTGACTGTGCTGATGACCCGAAAGATCTCATGAGATCAAACGAAGGAGACACCCGCGAGGTCGTGGACACACTGGGAAAGGCAATCAATGGCAAAGAGTGATCCATTGATCGATGATCTCCTCCATGTCGTGAGCGATGCCCCACTGAGAAAACAAGCAGCGGAACAACTTCTGTAACGAGTTCATCTCATACAGCAAATTGCGCACCGCCCCCATTCCTGGAGGAGAGTCGGTTCGTCCCTCCTCCACAAAACGGCGAGTCTCTGACCCAGTCGAGGGGCGGAGGGTGTCACATCCAAGATTCAGATCAGCCCGCGAGAGCAAAGCGTCTTGCCAGACAATAGTACGAGGAAGGTGGATATTGGTCACCCCGGCGAGCGAGAAAACAACGTAAATCGTCGTTGCAGAGAACAGGGAGCTGGGCATGTGAATGACATGAGCACGCCCCCTTGGCAACTGCTCGACAATATCCTGGATCGCAATCGCGTGCAGCAATGCGCGACGAGCATCTTCAGTGTTGACCCATTTGACCATATCGAACCCCGGTCTCATTGTCCGAGAGCCGCCGGAGACATGCTGTGTGATATCGTAGCGAGAGCAAACGTGTCTGCAAAGAATGGTAGAATTGATCATCGTGTCCAGGCAGATTGTGTGCCAGCGGAGGAGGACCTCGAGTCTCTCCGGGGCCGAGAGGTGGATGCTCATGGTGATGGTCTCATGCACCTGAGCTAGCGCCCTACGAACGTCAGAGCGGCCAGGAACACCGACAGCCGCCAGATCGCTTTCGTCGGAATCTGAGACCAAAGACTGCAACCCTTCCAGAACGACCCGTAGGGCGAAGGCTGAGAATTGATAATCCAGTGGGCGGAAACCGCCGATGGGAGGGAAAAGGGAGCGGAAGACTAGTCGGAATGAAGGCTGCTCCGATCTTTGAGTTCGCATGGTAGCAATCCACTCATCCACATTACTGGCATCGAAAGCAGCTTCGCTGCTGGGCAGAATGAGTGGATTGGCAACGTGCCGTGTGGATGCGCCATCTCCAGACATCTGCGCAACCAGTCCGTCTAGAATGTGGTAGGCAAGTAATGCACGTTGTTGAATCTCCCTGGCTGCCCATGTCCGCCACCTATTTTCCTTCTCACTGTTCGGTGCGCTGGGGAATGGCACGCTCTCCATTGAAAAAGGCTCGCAGTCTAGCATACCGCAATGTCTTGCCCAGAAGAAACCGAGCGGGCGAAAGACCTGGCTTGTGGTACGGATCACTCGATTCTAGTAAGAACTAGTCAATCATATATTCCTTTGAAGAAACCAGTTGGGCCGCATACCTTAGACAGAGCACCATATATTTGTCCCAAAAGAGCTGTGAGTAGGAGCTGGACTCCTTTGCAAGCATCATATGGACCACTATGTGTGATCAAGGACTGCCACTACAGCTTTGTGAGCAAGATCTCCTTCGTCATGGCAAAAACACGGCTTACAGAAGTAGCAATAGCCGTATGGGCCAGGCGCCATAGCGCCTCTCCCTTTGCTACGGAATCTTTGGGGCCTAAGTACAGGGACCCAAGTGCCATAGCGTTGAGTAGCAAGGGATGTGTGCATTCCCGGAAGACAAATGTTGCTCGGTGCAGAATGGGAAAAGTGGGTATGAATCGCACAAAGAACATGTGAAGGCACTCGTCCAGGAAGACCGATGTTATTGAAGTCGCTTTGATGGCTGCTGTCACGCTCGATGACTATCAGTCATGATTTAATGAATCAGCTTCGAGTAAGAATGAATGGGATCGGATATCCTCACCGAGCTTGTAACCATTTCTGTAACATCTCGCACAGCCTGGTGGCTACCACCTGATGGGATAGCGCCTATAGATGAACCTCTGTCGTCGAAGGAGTTTGGCGAACCAAAGTTCATCCCATTTACATCCTGCACAACAGGTGGAAAGGGCAGGGCGCCGAGTGGCATCTGCCACTGATCAGTCGTATCACAAGCCATGATGCTTTGAAACAGATTTTCGGAATCAGGCCATATTAGTGTGAAGTCGAGATCAGAGGCTGCATGCTGTAGGCCGGGCTGTGGCTCCGCTTGCGTTGTCTCCCAAGCATTATTGGGTGCCGACGAGGACACCACCCCGGGTGCGGTAGTTCGATGGGTGTCCCAGGCTATAGCATCCAGAGGCGACGCCTGCGGTGGCACATGCCCGGCGGACTGTTGTACTTGAGCCTGCTTGGCATTTGTAGCACGGACGTGAAGCTTTTCATGCCGAGTAAGAGCATCCTGGCGTGCGAAAGGACGTCGGCATTCTTTGCAGACAAAAGGCTTCGATCCCGTGTCTTGTAAACTCTGACGTTAGCACACACTCAAGAAGACAAGGCTGCACGTGCGATGAACGAGCGAACATATTGCAGGTCAATGGTTCATAGGAACGCATGATGCCACCCATTGTATGCCAGTACAGCTTGAGTCAGGGGTGCTTACGACATCGTTCGTGTCTCTACATACTAGAATTAGCTATAATCATTCCACTACAAAAAGACCTTCAAGATACGAGATCCTAGGGAGGAAATACCCTCAGGTGTTCAGCCTTGGAGAAGCCCTTCTCACAAACACGACATACCAAGGCCTTAGTCGTGGGTGTAGTGGCAGTGGGCGAGGATGTGGAGGTGGTTTGTGGCATAATGGCCGGAGGGGGGGGGGGAAGAGATTGCTTGGTAGCAGCCAAGGCAGCGCAGAGTAACTAAGTTAAGATATGCTGTATCACATCTGCACCCACAATTGAGTAGGCAGCAATAATCAACTAAGGTAGTCGAAGGAGCCAGCCATCCACAACAACAAGATGACGACGAGAAACCAGAGGGGCCTTGAGCAGGGATGAAGATGATCGATCGTGGAGAGAAAGAATATAGCATCCAGGCTTTGGGGGGGGGGGCGCGGAGAGGAAAAAGTGTGGGGCAGACGGTGAGGGAGCGAAGAAAGTGGCAAACAAGCAAACTGACCTGGACTTTTCCCAACTGAGCCAGGCACGTGGAGAGGTAAAGTATGTGCAGTACCGGTTTGATACCGTACGGTATTGCGGCCATTCTACCAGACCTCGGGATCTCTGCTTCAAGAACAATCCCGTCTTCACTTACCGATGGAAACGAACAGTACAAACTAGTAATCGGCTAACTCCAGACTCCAGATTGGCTTCTCCATACTTTCCACTCTTCGCTTCTCCATCTCTTCCCAAGTTGCGATAAGTCCATCCTCATGACTCTTCGGCACTACTAATTCAATTACGGAACACTAGCTGGTCAATAATTAGATTGACCTGGACGAGATTGATAGGAAATCAAAAAAGGTCGAGACTGCATGGCCGGCCCCCCTTACATCCATGCTAACTAACAGCCGCTGCATAGGTGCGTGGGTGCGTGGAGTTCTCTTCCGGCCGAACTCGCAGGTACCACACCCCACAATTTCTCTTTCTTTCCAGAAATACTCACATCTACCGGGGCCAATTTGATCGACCACCACTGCCATGATCATCATCATCACCACCATCATCATCGTCATGCAGACCCCGATCCTGCCTCTGGTCGAAGCTGAATGGATCATAAATGCGGAGTATTTTATTCTCGGTGGAAACGAAAGGTGAACCAAAGAAGCATTAGCCGAGCTCAGAAGGCACATCAGCACATTTGCCATGACTCCTCCCACTCAGGTCGGCATCCACTCCAAAGAACTTATCCCGTCCCGGTATGACCTAATGGGTCCCTTGCTGGAGAAAGGCCTTGTGAAGTTGGGTTTGGGGTTCTCCGGAAAACCCGGACTCGGGTCCTCGGCTATGCTTTGGACCTGATAGCACACTCAGTTCTTCGGTCCAGCCAATGAACTATGCCGCACTTCGAGGGTGACAGACCGAGTCGCCCATTGCCGTTACTGCGACTCGCCATTTTGTGGAATCCCCTCCGCATATCCCCCAATACTTGCCCCAGTAGTAAGCGGGACTCGTCATTCGGTTGGCTTTGCCCCGGGGAGGAGATTTGCTGACCCCAGCGATAGGTCGAAGCCCCAGACTGCGTGGAGCCTCGCCCTGAATTTCTTCCCTCTGACAGGAGTACCGTGAACTGTTCGCATAATCCTGTGAAATCCTGGCACATTCCTTGTAGGCCTCAGCAAATCGCCCTTCCACTCTCTTCATCACCTGTCGCCCATTTTTCAACAATCTCAAAAATCCAGTGACCGATACTCTTCAACACCAAATCAACTGTTCACCGATTTCCTTACCCTAAACATAGGGTCTCCCATCGAGATGACCGGGTCACACGAGATGCAGCCGTCTCGCACGGCTGTTGACCCCCCTACACCTGCCAAAGAGGATGTCGACTTTGTAGAAAGCACCGAGTCTGGCATTCCGTCAACGTATGCCGATATTGCAGCATCACGTCTCTCCAAAGCCCATCGTGATTACCTGCTCGAACGCCATGGCACGTTGGAGCTCGACCCTATGCCTAGCATGGATCCTGCAGATCCCTATAACTGGCCATCATGGAAGGTTAACATCCCGCGACTGACTGGCTTCTGACTATGTGTGAACCCTTGGCTGATGGGATACTTATCCTGCAGAAAATCGTCAACCTTCTTCTAGTTGCATTCCACGCGTGCATGGGAACTTTTGCTGCTGCAGGCATCATTCCCGCCTATGAGACGTAGGTATCCCTCCGATCCGAAGACATCCGGGTTACTAAATGACATCCAGGATATCGACCGAGTACGGTGTTTCTATCAATGATGCCAGTTACATGACATCCATCCAGATTGCAGTCCTAGGCGTGGCCCCTTTGATCTGGAAACCCCTGTCGAATCGATGGGGCCGTCGTCCAGTTTTTTTGCTATCCCTAATTTGCAGTCTCGTCTGCAATGTAGGGTGTGCTGAAAGCACGAGTTATTCGTCTCTTGCAGTTTGTCGTGCCTTGCAAGCGTTCTTCATCTCTCCCGCGTCGGGTAAGCTTGCTAGTATCGCTCCGACATAAGAGAAACCAGACAAGCTAACAGACACGGAAGCTATCGGAAGTGCTGTAGTGATGGAGACAACATTCAAGAAGGACCGCGCCCGGTACATGGGGATCTGGACACTGTTGGTCACTCTGGGAATCCCGAGCGGTCCTTTCATCTTTGGATTCGTTACGTATCGGATAGGTTACCAATGGATCTATTGGATCTTGGCCATGGTAAGTTCCTCTGTGATTCGCATAAAGCCCAAGGAGATAATTGGCGGATGGCTGACAATTCAACTTCGCATCAATTAGATCAACGGAGGTCAATTTGTCTTATACCTCTTCTTCGGCCCGGAAACGCGGTATGTCGGGGGTGATTATGACACCAGTAAGCCTGCGTGGGTGCGAGAGTACGTTCAGCTGCGACGGATCGACCCCACACCTTTGTCGCCATGGGACTTCATTAGACCGCTGGGCATGTTCACGCACCCTTGCGTTGCCATACCAGCAGCTGCATACGCCATGATCTTCTGTTTGAGTAACGTCATGACCACGGTTGAGGTTCCGGCCTTGCTGCAGACCAAGTTTGACCTGAACGCCGAGCAACTGGGTCTCCAGTTCCTTGGCCCCATCGTTGGCTCCCTCATCGGCGAACAGCTGGGCGGTATCTTGTCCGACCGTTGGATGAGACTGCGCGAAAAGAAGACTCATCGCAAGCCTCAGCCCGAGCATCGCCTGTGGCTCAGTTATATCGGCTTCCTCTGCTCAATTGTGGGCCTCGTTGTTTTCCTGGTTTGCACCGAGCAGTCCAAGGAGGGACACTGGAATATCCGGCCTATTATTGGCATTGCCATCTGTGCCGGTGGCAACCAGATCGTAACCACCGTCCTCATCACATATGCCGTAGACTGTTATCACACCGAGGCGGCCAGCATCGGAGTTTTCATTACGTTCGTCCGTCAAATCTGGGGTTTCTTGGGTCCGTTTTGGTAGGTCGCAACCATGGTCATTCTTCTGTTACTGCGCACACAAGGTACTAATCGAGGCTGTTCAGGTTCCCATCCATGTTCGAACACGTTGGAGTTGCCGCCAGCGCTGGAGTATGCGCCGCTCTCATCATGGGTGTCAGTTTCGTTCCGATCGCTCTCGTTCACTGGCAAGGACGATCCTGGCGTCCGGCCACGGGCGAGTAAATCGTCTCCATCATTCTTTGGCTATACCGGACACGACTCTCAATGGCATGACTTGCGGAATATTGAACATTGAAGCGCTAGAAGCTTAGAAGGTTAGATATAGATCGGATCTCGAAGGCCAATCCTCGCGAACTGCAGGGTTGGGCGAGAATTTGTAAATAGAGCATAGATAGGCAGCGAACAAGGAATGGAATCACCATAGAGCATCATGAAGAAGAAAGAAACAAAGTCACTCTGAATAGAGTGAATGAGAAAAAAAAATCGAACTTTGATGTTATTTCCATAGAACCAACGATATACACGTGCTAGGCGGATAAAAGAAAATAAAATCCCAAGGGGAGGGAAAGAAGGAAAACGGAGGAGGGGAGAAAAGACTTTATCCCGGAGCCTTATAGGAAAAGATCGGGGGACCTTAGCCAGCATCAGATAGATTTTATCTGTTGTAGACTACAGAAGATAATTTAATTGACTCCTCCCGGAGTACTCCAGGCGTACGGTTTTTTCCCGCCGACCCTCAACCGGCATCGAACCACCTAACATCGGCAAAGCGAAAAGAAGAAGGGCCCCAAGTCAGGCCACGCTTACATGGGTTTTAGCGTCGGACCGGCTGCCCGATCAAACAACTTCCTTCTCGGGGTGTTGTTGGCGGGCTCGGGAAGAACCACCGGCAATGGGGAATGGTTTCTTATTGACTGTGTTGTTCCCTTTCACTTGCTATGAGGGTTCAACTTGCATCATACGATATTGAATTCATGAAGTGGTGCTGATACTATGAGCATGGATCTGGACATTGTAAAGCAGGCGAGAAGAGCTGCTGATGTTGATTGCCTGAGGTTGGTTGGTTCAACTTGGTTGGTTCCGCTATACCTCCGCCCTCCGCAAGCTCAAGCTCAAGCTCAACCAGCTCTTTTGCCCACCTACTGGTTTTGCCGACGGGTATGAGATCTTCCGCCGGATGTTTCCTCAACCCGCAGTGCCTGTCATTTCCTAAAACATGCGCATAGCCTCTTGGGATTTCTAAACTTGTGTCTCAAGACTGAATCTAAAAATGAGAGGTGGTATGAGACTATATGACTGGTGGTCGAACTGTACAGTACTAGTTATTGTGATCAAGCTTCGTAAGGGGGTTATTTAAGCATTATGCGGCTGCCTGTTGTGGTTTCTTGAGTGATGTCGAACTATTGAGGTGTTGCAGGTCAACTTCCCAGCTTCGGTGCTTGGAGCTCTGTGGGGAGGTGGGTGAGTCAGCGTGGGGTGTGGGGCGGAGGGGGGGGGGGGGATCGGGACGACCGGGCAAGTTTTGGGAATGGTGCCAACTGGCGGGCATGCATCACACATCCAACTGAGGCCAGTAACTTAGGGTCGATCCGTATTACGTATGTTTATAGGTGCATAGAGGCCATGATTCGAAAACTGGAGGGACATATCAATAGGTCTCGCCCCCTTCAAAGCGAAGTAGGCTGATTAAGTAAAAACCGGCCGTAGATTACGCAGGGTCAGACGGGATC